CGAAAAATTGGTCTTTCGCAAGGGGCTTACGAGCGCCGCCGCCGGATAATGGTCGTCGTTATGCACGCGCGCATTGTGCGAGCGACACTCGCTGTCGCAACGCTCGCGCGCTTTTTCAATTTCAGCCGATACGCGCTTTGATAGACGCGGCGCGAGCCGACTGATTTATAGACTGCGGTAATTGCCAAGTCGACCGGGCACAATGCAAGCCAACAAGCCACGGCCGCGGCGCGTTAAATAACCGCGAGGAATGACGCGCGGCTCGCGTCCCTCGGCGCGCTGCCGATCGTTTCGATACGCGCGGCGCACGCGCCCGATTTTGAAATCCCGCGATCGCGGCCGAATGGCTTTCGCTAATGGATCTCGACGCGGCCGAGGCCGCCGGCGGCGAGCGCTTTTACGGCGCCGCGCGGCCGACTACGCCAACGAGAGACTAATCAGCGTGGACGGCGTTGCGCCGGAAGTGCAGGACCGGCCGATCGCAATCGGACGCGAGCGCGGCCGCGTTTCCCGAGCCCGTTCGCTCTCTCGCGCCGAGGGTGTGCCGATTCCGCTCGGCGAGCTCCGGAGCGCGCTCCTACGGGACGAGCAGCGCGGGTCGATAGGCAGCGGCTTAGGCACCGCACGCTCGCCGCTCGAGGCAGAGAAAGATCTGGGTCGGACCGCGCGACAATGCCTCTTTGTGTGTCTGCTGGCAAGATATCCGCGAGTCGCCGCTCCATTGTCGTCGCGGCCTACGCGCGAGATGGCAATCGCTGCGCGCCGTCCCCCGATCCGCGAGAAAGTGGCTCGCCGCGCGTCGCGCTAACGACGCGACGTCGACGAGGTTCCGCGGCACATTCGGCTGGCGCGAGATCGAAGCTCCGGGCGATCCGTCGGGCGCGAGAGTCGAGCCGCGAAGACTCGTCATGGGAAAGGTGTAACCCGGCGCACGCGGCAGTGATGCTTTCTCCAATTAAACGATAAAGCGCTGGATGCTCGCGTTCGTAACGACGCTTTGCATAATACCGCGCGAGAGCGGTCCGGTTGACAAGCGATATTCGCGTATACAGGCGATATGATTAATGGGCCAATCGCACGGCACAATGCGCGCGCCAGACACCCTGCCCCGGCTCTACGTGCACGCGCGCGCGCGCGCGCTTACGTAAGGATTTACACCACGACCACGACCACGACGAGCAAATTATCGTCCGAATGCTGCACGGAGAGAGAGAGAGAGAGAGTGCGCCTGCAGAGGCAGAGCTTTCTCTTGGCCCTGCCCGCGCCCGCTTTTCTCCGGTTTCCCGCCGCGGAGAGCGGCAGCTTGGCCGCCATCGCTCGTTCGTTCGGCGGCAACAGTCTAGCGAGACCTCGCGGCGTCGATTCGTTAGCACGCCGCCCTCGGCCGTGCAAACGCGGGCATAATTCACGCTGAAACCAGCCAAAGCAAACAGCCGGCATAAATCTGTATTACAGCGGTTCGCGGCTCGCTAATGCTATCCGACGTTTGTAATCACACAGGCCGCAGCTCGCGCAGCGCGAACGCACTCGCAGATGCGTCTTGTTCGCGCGCGGGCTTTCGACCGGGCGACGACGGCTCGGCCTCTCGCTGGGCACCGCGACGACAATTAACGCGCGCGACCGAGCGAGAATTAAAGTCCGGCGGCTCGCTCGGACGAACGAAATTCCTGCGTGGCGTATAAATAAGGGCAGAGCCGGCCGGCATGCTGCTGCCGCTCGGCGAGGGAAGGCCTCTTTTTTCGAAAGCGCGACCGGTCGCGAGAGCTCGTTACCTGAAAAAGTGGAATAGCGGCTTCTGCCGGCGCACGGCTCGCGGCTCGCGGCTCGCGGCTCGCGGCTCGCGGCTCGCGTCTCGCTCGCTTCCGAGACGCGTCCCCGCGGTCGCGCTATCGATCCGCGGCGCAGTTTCGTCGTCGATTACTCGCGCGACTCCTCGTTGCCGGTTTCGAGCGACCGGCACCACGACCTGCTTTCCGTGGCGCGCGCGTTTCGCAATGCCGCGAGCTCTCGCGCGGTGAAACCCGACGACAGCGACGCCAAGTGAAAGTCGCGACATGCAAATGCTTGGATTTGGCCGCGCGCCGCGCCGAAGGAGAGAGCCGGAAAACGAGCGCGAGGCGCAGCGTCGTAAAATTTGCACCGCGCGAGATGCTCGGATTCGCAACGCTCCGCGCGAAGCCCGAACGAAGCGTTGCGCCGTCCGGAGCTTCGTTCTCACGCTTGGCGTGTACGCGCGGCCGCACACGCCACCGCCCTGAGCGGATCGAAGCGGATCGAAGCGCGCGCGTGCTCGCCCGGCCCGACTGCCGGAGTCCGCGAGCGAAGCTCGTCGACGCGCGAGTGCATTTGCCAAATTAGCCGACTCGGAATTGCGGGCGCGGGCTACGACGCGAGTGTAGGCACGCGCGCCCGTGCAGTATTCATCCAACTGCCGAAAATTCCCCGAGGAGCTCGGCGAGAGAGCGGGAGGTGCGACGACCCTCTCGGCTTCGCTATCTGGCTCGCGTCATCTGGCCCAACCCCGACCGACCGCGGTCAGCGACCCGCGCGGAAGCCGTACCGTCGACGGCTCTTTCTTTGGCGCGCCAAAGATTGCACGTTGCGAAATTCCAGAGAGGCTGCACTGCGAACGATAACCTTTATTTACAAACGGTAACACTAACAATATAATAAACAAATAATCATACTACGTAACATTCGCGAGAACCAAAGTATAACAATCTTCAGTTACAGAGCCGCTTGTACATTGACAAGTAAAGTTATTAAATTAAACAAAACAAATATTTTGGTCAAAGTAATTCATGTGTTAAAACGGTCAAAGACCTATGACAACTAGCGTAGAGAGCAAACTTCTCGCGGTTACAAAACGAAATTCTAGCTGGCAGTAATACAGAGAGAAAAGAAAGAGAGGGAGAGAGAGAGGGAGAGAAAGAGACGGAAAAATGAGAACGGGCCCTTTTGCTTTTCGGCTGTAAAGAAGTAATTTGCGAGTGTGCGCGCGCGGGACATATATTGTTACGAGATTTATTGGGGAATTATGCTTGCGAGAGGTAATTTCGCTAATTACTGGCTTTCAGAGGGCTCGCTTAACTGTTATTATGCAGATTTATAAACGCCCGGTCGTTGTTCTTGAAAACTGCGCGCCGGACGTTTTTTTTTTGTTTTTTTCGTTTTTTTTTTGTTTTTGTTGTTGTCTTCGGCGTTCGCTCGCCGAGCGAGCAATCAAAGTAACGAGCGAAAGCGACGCAGCGCGAGGCGTCGGGCTTTGCATACAAAAGCTGGAGCGCGCGGCATCATCGATACGCGGTGTCGCCAATCATCATTGCCGTCGTGGTGCGAGCGCCGAACAATCGTGGCAGGCGTGGATAATAAGCAGCGTGTGTGCCATCGCGCGGCCCATTGTGCGGAACACGTGCACGGCGCGCCGCGAAGTGTGCGCGAGTGCTTTATGGGCATTCGGAGAAAGACCTTCTTTCACTTTGAAGCCCCGCCAACAGGGAGAGAGAGAGAGAGAGAGGAAGAGAGAGGGGGGAGGGGGCTCTTCGTACCACCCCCTCACTCTCGCTGTCGTGGGCTGAATTATCCACGCGAGCTCGTTTGAATAATTGATCGACGTCGTCGCCTTTGGCTTTTCACCTGGAAATCTGTGTCGTTACGCCCCGCCGAGATGAGGCTTTCATTAATGCAAGAACTCGCCAGCAGTCGAAGCCGAGTGGACGTATCAAGTCAGAGAGAGGGTTTTAATCAGATTAATAGCCCAGTTCTTTTCCTTCCGCGAGTTATTTGCGCAAGTGCTGATTGACCGACGGGGAAAGGGAGCACTTCATTTTTCGGCTCAGTGAAGAAACTTCGGGCCTCGGTCCGTCCGTGGCTCTTGAGAGCGAGATAGACAGTTGTAGATTTATATATATATATATATATATATATATATATATATATATATATATATATATATATATATATATATATAAATCTACAGGAACGAACAATCTACAGGAGTAGGCTGCAATCTGTACTACTTTTGTTCTCGACGCGATGCTCTGAGAGTCCGATGTGTATTAATGCGCTTGAATGAAGTCATTGAAAATCCATTTCCTTCGCCGACTGGCGTTTGCACCCGTGACTAACGTGCAAGATCCCGTGCTGCCGCTGCTTTTCGGGCTACGTGATACGAGATCGAAAAAAATAAAGAAAAGAGAAAGAAAAAAGCACCAGCGAGATAAAAGAAGAAGAGCCGAGGCTGCCGCGGAGAGAAAAGAAACGATGCTGCTGCTGCTGCTGCTGCTGCTGCTGCTGCTTCGCAAACAGAGCGTTGTTCCCTCGCGAAGAGTCAGTGAACCCAGAGAGGCTGCACCCTCGCTGCGCGCTCTTCTTCGCGGCCTCATCTGTGTTTTGGCGGTCGATGAACCCTCCGTGCACACACACACACACACACGCGCGCGCGCGCGCGCGCACGCACACACACACACACACACACACACACACACACACACACGTACACTGATCGATTGCCGAGCAACATTACCCGATTCGGATATATACACGCGCCCAGCCCTATTGCAGTCGCTCGCATGCGGAGTAATTTCGGACGATGCTTTTTCAATTTTATTTTTTTTTATTTCTTGGCGGGAAGCTCATTGAAAAAGTTGCGATGCTTCAAATATTTGCACACGCGTCCTCATAAGATGTAACGTAGGAAGGTGCATGAAATCGCTTCGCCGTCGGTCGTCGATTGCTTTGCAAAAGGGAAAAAGGAAAGAGAGCGAGAGAGAGAGCGAGAGAGAGAGCGAGAGAGAGAGCGAGAGAGAGAGAGAGAGAGAGAGAGAGAGAGAGAGAGAGAGCTCGGTAATGATTGAACCACGGCCTTTATTAAATTACGGGGAATTACAGCGCTTTGCGTAATTCCACGTGAAAAGGAAGGGGAGACAAGGAGAATATCGACATTACACGTTGCGCCCTTGAACTTGCAGCTAATCAATGTGTAATTTTGTTGTTCGCAGATTCGACGTAGCGGAGCCGATCTCCTCAGACATATACCGTGACAAATCAAAAGTGTTTCACACAGCCAGAATGAACGTGAACGAGCGAGAGAAAGAGAGACCGACAGCGAGAACGCGAGAAAGAGAGCGAGAGTGAGAGTAGAAATTCATGTAGAAGAAAAGGCCAGAGTTAAAAGCAGGTAGAGGGAACTACGGCGCACTCTTCAAACGCTTCTCGACAAGCGTGAATATTGTTCAACTGAGTCGTCGTCGTCGTCGTCGTCGTCGTCGTCGTCGTCGTCGTCGTCGTCGAGCTTTACATTTTAAGCGCAGCGCTGTATATCGAGAATATGTCATACCTCTGTGCTTTTTTTTCGTAGATTCTTGTTTTTTTTTCTTTTGCGCGTGTCTTCTCAAAACGTATCTATTAATTAATTATTATTACTTGTTACATGTATCTCGAGTCATATTATATGTACGTAAGTCACTTTTGCTTCCAACGATAATATTGTGTGTGCGCGAAGAACGAAATGAAGAAAAAAGAAATATTTTTTTTGTTTTTGCTGGATGTGCCGCTGAAGATTGAGGGATAAGATAGGCTCGCAGCAAAGTTGTACTTAGAAAAGTGCAACGACGATATGATGTTTATTAGATGCGCGTAAAGACTCGAATGCCATATATTTGAATAACCAAGTTATTGTGGTTGTACTTAAGTCATACTTATTAGATTTTATTAAGTTTAGATCTATTTCGGATAAAACACACACATACACCCCCCTAATTATTGGTGTTTTCTCATTAATTGCTATCGATAGCGATATCTACATGTGCTTAGGCGAATCTTCTTTAAGGCTGAATTATTAAAATATCGCACGAAAAAACTCTCTTATCTGTCCATTTTTCATCACCTCGTCCTTCCTTAATCGCTAAGCCTTTTTTTTTAATCATTTTTTTATTGTGATATATTCCTTGAGTTTTTCCTTGTTTTGACATTCCATTGAGGTGCCAGAAATATCTTTAGCCGTAACGGTCTCGAGCTGAAATGTTCATTTGCAAGTTATAACGATAAACTGGCTTCTTCTTTGCTCGTATTTTAAGCTTCAAATTAAAATGTTTGTCATTCACCATCGATAGTTGGATAGCTCCTGAGTGGAAATTTTCGGTGTGGCAAGTCCGACGGAAATAAAAGGAATTTCGAATTGGAAGGAAAGAAGACAAAGCGCAGCGTTGTGTCGAAAATGATCGGCGGTAAAGAGGCGTAGTCTTTGCCACGTAGATGGGGGTAAAGACAAAGGCGTGCAAATCGTTTGTCAACATTGATGGTGAATGACAGAAGAACACAGAGAGTCGAGCGCTCGGCGCGATTGGTGATTTCTCTCGTATCCTCGATACTTTTATAAAGTATTCCGACAGAGGCCTCTAAGATTGAGACATCCGTGTGACTGCCCGGGTCTCGGTCTCACTTTTTTTGTGATTATCGCATAGAGAAACACGACGAACGAGTATAACGCGTAGGCTAGGATTATTATGTTTTAATTTACGTGATCTATCAGCTACCGCTTTAATGTGTAGTCGCACGGAAGCTGACGAACGATATATTACTGTGGACGCACGATGAGCGCAGAAGCGCGCGCGCGGCGTCGCAGCGTTCCGTCAATTGACTTTTCTTTCGTCTTGCAATTGTGTGTCGAAGCAAGTTGGGGGACACTCCGTGGAAGCGATGCGTATCATTTCTCATGATCAAGTTGGCCGTGCCATTGCGTTTTGTTAAGGGGAGTCATGAATAATTCGATTCGTTGATCCACGTTTAAGTAGAAAGGACTAGAGCAAAAACCTTTTCGTGTGCTGTAATTTTTATCGGAATACGTCAGTGACACAACGTTTATCTCCAAGTGGCCTTAGGTGCAATTCTGTCATTGAAAGAGTCTATTTTAGCGACGATCGATGTAATTGTACTTGCAGAAGCAACGCAGATCATTTTTTGTTTGTTTTATTTCTCAATGTGCTGCAGCCTTCATTTCTCAATGATTTATATCGACAAACATCTATTGCGAGGACTTTGCGCATGATTGTACGTGTATCATATAAGTTTATAATTTTTTTAGCTCGTAAGTTCAGAAGCATAGTTTATATTATTATATCGCATACAAGTATCATAACTTACGTATAATACGAAGGAACGATTTTTCTTTTGTGACGAAGGCACACGGTCCCCTTTACGACATTTCTGAACTCGGCTCGCGACATAGTCGCCTTCACTGGGCGAATATTTCTCGTATCAACGTTCATCGGCAGCCCTATTTTGCCGCGATATGACTTTTCAATTTTCTCTCGCGTGGCTATTTTGTTTTTGTTTTTTTTTCTCATTTTTACTTTCCGAGGGGGTTTCACTAAGATCTTTATTAATCGGCACTTTTTATGGTCTATTGTTAGTACTTGTTTCCGTTGATTCTTCTGGGCATCTGTTTTATGATTGATACTAATTCAAATACATCATCGCGGCGAAATGCTCAAGTGTAAGGGTTGAGGACCGTCTGTGCCTTCGATTGCTCGTTAGCACGATTTTTTAATTGTAACAACAGCAGCATACACTTTTGTGATTTTCATAAGCAATTGTTCAGTTTTTATACTTTCAGTAATGCTTATCTAGATTAGCCTGTGTACCCTAAAGAGTGTTTCAATAAAAGACAATAAAATTAAACATGACAATTTTTTATCTTTACCCTACACATTGTTCACGTACGATTAACATTCCTGCGAATATTCATTTACATCTAGACATTGATATCAAATTCATATCAAATTCATATCAAATTTCCAACTACAGACGAACCGGAAACTGCATATAGCAATCTACTAAATACTATTAACTCTATTGTCGATCAAGCAACCTGCGTTAAACAATTTCAAAGGAACACTTGTATCACAAAAGGTATCCTGTAATACTGAAGAGAACTTATAGTATGAAATATGGCGGAAAGCACCCAAGAATAGCGAATTAAATCATGAACGCAGAGCTTACGAAAGTCTCAAGAAAAGTTATTATAGAGATGTAAAAATCAAAGAGGAATTATTTCAATTTAATAAATATGGGGTAGGAATAGTAAAAAATATCTAGAAATACATAAACAGTAAATTAGACAAAAATAAGATATAATTAATAATATACAAGGGTTCATGTACTAAATATACAAAGGAAATTGTTAGTGTATTTAATGAATTGTTTAGTAAAGTAGCAACTAAGTTAGCTGAAAAAATTAATAAGAATTGTGAATTTGCTTCAAGTTTACCGCCAAGAAATCATAGTAACATATACTTGCAGGATACAAATGTAGTTGAAATGCCAAAGATCTATTTCTTAAAACTATAGGCTTGTGGAATTGATGGAATCTCTACTAAAATACTGGAAACTCTGAACCCGTACATGAATTTGCCACTTGAATGTATTTATAAATATCGAAAGCAACATGGCTCTCTACATTAAAAATCGAAAAAATTTTATCTATTGAGGGATGAAACATTACTAACGAACTATAGATCTATATTTCTGATTTTTAACATTGCTAAAATATTTGAAAAAATATTACATGATAAATTATACCAATTCTCATCAGAACTTAAAATAATATCAAATAAGCAGATGGAACTTAGATAATTAAGTTATAAAAGACATAGATGAAAATAAAAAATGGTAGCTGTTTTTTGGATTTAGCCAAAGCATTCGAACTGTCATATAATTTACTGACCATCAATACAATCTATGTAAATTAAATATTTATTTAGTTGATTAAGCAGTCTTTCAGTAAAATTTATTGGAAGACATTGTATTTTTTTCTTGAACAGGTAAAACAGGTTGTCATCATGCAGCACAATTCGAAAACGACAAAGTTGTTGCAGTGCTATTAAAACTTAGAGCCGACGTAAATAATAGATAATAGTCGCAAGTTAACTCTGTCGTATTTTATAAAATGCTGTTTAGGAGATTAGAATCAAGCTGATAATAGAAAATTTGTAATTTTCATAAATTAAGTAACGCGCCGCCCGGGCATGTGAAAAATTGCTATTTGAATCTAGAGATAAACCAATTTCACAGCAAAATCGAAAAAATTTTTTGTAACATACATCTTATGAAAAATTATTCATATGCAATCGATCAAAAGTTCTACAATGAAGTAAAACGGACGAAGAACGTCGATTTCGATTTTATTTCATTTAAAATTCATTCCTTCTTTTCCGAAATTGCACGAATATATTTTTATTCTTACTTAGGCTTTTCATTTCCAGGATTTTTTTGAAGTAGTGAAGTAATCAGTGTATTCGCAGAGTTGTAAATTTATTATGATTCAACAAAGGATTAATAACAAAAGATAACAATTCATCAATAATAAATACACATAATACTTGTTACAGAAAATAATAAACAAATGGCATGTTATTCTTATATAATTCTTAAAGAGCGTAACGAACGAAATCGATGGACGGCGTTAACAAAAAATTCATTACAACAAGTCAATAAAAGCAACGTCAGGTAAACCAGTATAAAATATATCACCAATATGTTATCACTTTAAACGAAGTCTTCAGTTGATGTGACTGTAGCCTCGATAAGCAGTCCAAAGTCGAGCTCTGTAAGGCTAGCTGTGCGCGGAACCCGGGAACACAAGAGAAAAAAGTGTTACACGTTAGCAAAAAGAGCCATAAATTCGCGATCATAAAAACACGAACTTTACCTTTGGCCGTGAGTAAATCAAGGAACGTGTCAAGTGGAGAAAGTCGGTCGGTAGAGGGGAAAGCCGATATTCCTAAAGTTCAAAAGAAATGCACATAAATACATAAGAGTATATCCTCGCGCGGCACAAAAGGACTCCCGCGCTCGGTAGCGTGAATGGACCTTTTGAAATCTGCCTTACCGTTATGATGATGCCGATGCTGCGGAAGTCTGCTGCGCGATTGGGATAACTCGCCGGACAGAGTGTTTGCCGCGTGCTCTCTCGCTCTCAGCATGAAGCTCATGGGATGTAGCCATTGATTTAGCAACCGTTTCGCTCGTGTTCGCGGCAATAGACGTAGAAGCTCCAATTTGCGGGGCACGTTTTGCTTTGTATCGCCAATGTCTGCAAAAAGAATATGCTCACGGTCACACAAATCATGCCCATCTTTTGTAACAAATATTAATCATACGATCGCTTCATCGGTACTCACCAGCCATAATAATTTTAGCAACGTCGACTTGAAGTTCAAAAACAGAATGTTGGACGTATTGTAAAAACATGGAGTATTTCACAGTTCGGTATCCTAGATAAGTAAGAAAAGACATAAAGCCTTGAGGAACAGGAAATGCAATACTTTCAGTCGCATAACGATATCTTTCTAGCAAAGTAAACATCAACCATCGCCTTGAATCTTCCAACTGATCTCTGCAATGAAAACCAATGTTTGATGGAAAAATGTGATAAGTATTCTTTGCTTATAAAAATATAAACCTACATTAGACAGAAGCCTCGTTCTAGTTCGACTCTAGAATCAACGTTCGCTGCTTTACAGAGCATCTGGCATAAAAGTCTTGAGGTTTCGAGCTGCGAAGAGACATGTCTCGTGGACATGGCATGTACGTGTAATGGAGTGCAAGAACCTCTTATACGCCCTATAGAATTTTTTGTGCCGTACTGAAGTAGATGCAGAGACAGCTCTCGTAAATTGACAGCGATAATGTGTTCTTGTTTGGAAGCTGTACAGCTTTCCATTTCGATAAACGGCAAGGCTGAGTCACTGTATTTATGACGGCTTCCCATAAGTTCGCCGAGTGCGGCAGTGGTTACAGTAAAGCTAAAATTGAATAACATTATTAGATCCTAATTTATTATAATGACTGATAGCAATAATTATTTGGTAAATAACCCTCCACCCGGTGACATTGGAGTGCTGCATCGGGACAAGGCTTCAGGTTGGTAACAAGCCAACGACACAGCCAATTTTTCTGCTATCTGACTAGGCTTGAATCTCGGTAGCTCGTCACTCCTTTTACTAAGTAGATCCCATAATCGTGTCCATAGATCACTACGATATGGCACCAACCGCTGCTGCGGGGACAATAACATGACTGAAGTATTCCATAGTTTTTCGTGGCTTAGAGTCACGGTGAATTCACCGATTTTTGCTTTAAAATTTGAACACTCATCCATGGTAGTAACTGGTACTAAAGATAATAGAGGTACAGCATCAGAAAGCAAATTTTTTTGAACTATCGAGTGTGCTCCACTTATTAAAAACTCTTGCATGATTTTAGCAATGTCCAAAGCACGAGGCTTTTCAGCTATGACCGAGATCAAATCGCTTACGATGTCCAGGTCGTTTTTGTGGCTTAAAAAGTAGTGAAGAATACCGAGGCGTACTTCAGTCGAGTTTTCTTTCTTAAAAACGTCAATAAGAAAACTAGTAGGTACATTCAAATAGACTAGATCCAACGTAGGTAAATCTATCGTTAGTATATTGCAGCTGCTACCATTCAGACTCAAATCAGCATCGGCATTCACAGAGAATTTGGTTTTGACATCGTTGCTTTCGTTGTTTAAAGTAAGAAGAGGTACGAGGTAAGAAGATTGCAGAGGAACATTTGTAAGTGGACCACAGAGGATATGACAGCATGGTTGATGATGGAGTCCAATTTCTAACAGATGCGTGAAACAGTCTTGAACGAACACCACCATGTGACTGTCACCATAGAGGGCAAAGGTCGGTCTCATCAGTTTGGCACGAGCCCAAGGTATTGTAGGTACGACGCAATGTATCACACAGCTGTGATGGAGTAGTGTGATAGAGTAAGCAAAGTATACTGTATTTAAATCACTCATTGCAGACTCCAAAACGTGCTGCGGCGGTTGTACTGGTCGGTAGAGGTAGTGATGACAAACGCAAACGATGCCTTTGTAATCCGAGATCACTATGAGATCGAGTGAGCAGTCGTGAATTCTTAAAGGAATAACGTCGTCTTCATAAGTACCGCAATTATCAGAACTTGGTGTTTGTGGTAAATTTAATGGAATATTCAACTGTAACAAAATTAAATTAATTTTTTAACGTATAAATTTTTGAATAAAAAATTGAAAAAAATTGCATAATTACATACCACAGTTTCATGGGGAAGATCGTCGTGAAACTGGAAACCGCTAAGTGTAGGAGAAGCACAGGGAGGCCTGTGTTCTTTGTCAACAGAAACTTCGGTGAATACACTGACTGCCGCTTTTCTGTGATGGATATGGTAAAGTACTTGATTCGTAGCATCCCACTGTGCCCATATGAAAGATTTGACTAACGTTTCTTTTTTTAATTCTTTTATTATATATATTTCAGATTTTGGTTCGTAAAAAACAGTGTGCATTTGGATATCTGTAAGTTAGTAAAAAAATATTTGTCAATCACAACTGCAAATCAATTTGTTTCTATATTATAACTATTTTTTTATTACTAACATTCTTGATGAACTAAAACTAAAAGTTTATCTAAAGCTTTAGATGGTCTTTCATTGTACAAAAATTGTATTCTAATTTGTTTTAATTTATCATTTTCTAAAGTATGTACTTTTGTTTCTTCAGTCTTAAATTCCATGATATAAGCATGATAATATTCAAGCTCTGTATTTGAATATGTTTCACCTTCAAATGCATGGCCATTATTTTCTGTTACCTTTTCACGGTCATTTTCCTCTTTAACTTCATTTACTATTGAGTCTGATACCAATTTCTGTTTTATTACATATCCCAATAAAGAACAATATTGATTAACTGATGCTTGAATTAAATTCAGTGTTTTAGAAAACCTGTGTAAAACCTGAAAATTGATATATAAGGTTTATATTCATTAGAAAAATAAAAATAATAACATATTTACCTGCAATTCATCCTTCACCCTGTCATATCTTCCTATCACAGAATAAGATTTATGACTTTTGCCTAATGATATAAATTCTATCCATCCAAGTAATAATGAACCATCTTTCTCTTGACCAAGAAGTTTCCATTGTTCAGCTTTATAGAAATATGAATTGGAGCTTTAATACTAACTATTTTAATTTTTATTATATTTTAAAGGAACATTGAATACATGTTCAATCAAACGAATAATTTTAACCCCGTTAGCGTTTTGAGGATTACTAACACTTTTTCCAATTATAAAAAGCCGATAAATCATCATAGATAAGAACAGTCTATAAAAGTGTCAAACAAATAATCGATAATTGCGTATATAAACGCTATATGGGGTTAACTATGACAGTATGACCACAATGTATTTAATAGAGCTCATTTAAGCACTTTTTAATTATCTCGAAGTCAAGGTTAATTAATAAAAATACAATGTATTTACCTTCAGAAGCTTGTTCATCTAAAAGTAGGCATAATTTAGCAGCAAGATTCTCCTCCATTCTATCTTGTCGTCTGCATCTATGCTTCCATCATTGTGTCAGCTGCCTTATTCATTGATGTCACGTCCTTGCGTGTGCGCCTGTAGTGTAAGACGTAAGTGTGTGGCTTTGGCGCGCATGCGCTGATGTAACTATACGAGGACGATGCCAAACATGGACAAACAATACAAGAATTATAAAAAATAACAAGTGGGATAACTGTTGCCATCGTTATTGTGTATTTTGAAAGTAGGATATAACTGCGTTTGTATATAATATATCTTTATCTGGTTATGTTAAATTATTCTGAAAAGTATTAATGGAATTGTAAATTGACGTTTGATGTTAATTATTAACATTGTATTTTCATGTATTGATGTTCATGAATTATTTAATGGACGAACATAACTATGAAAAATGAAGAGGATTATATAAACAAACACATTTCCAAGAAATATTGTTCTCACATGCGCATTCAAACAAAATTTAAATTTACATATACCTTTTAACAAGCAGATCGCCCATTACGCAATCCAATATCATTCAATCAATTGTCAAGTAGGTGTCTATTTTTTAATGCCGCAGTAACAACATATTGAAAAGATGAATATTCAAAAAGTATCTTGATTATCTACGCCTCAGTAAGCTGTTTCATATAACATAATATGGCAAACGAATCTGCACAATAATACCGTGAGATGAAATATAAGATGATCTTTGTTAAGATGACTAGTCCTCCCACCACCTAATATAGCCACGCAGTTATCGCGGCGCGGGATGCGGATTTTTGTGCAGTTCACGCTGTTCACAATTGCGCGCGCTTAGAGAAAAGCGGTCGTCCCTGGTAGAGCAAAGTAGCTCGTCGGCAGAAAATTATCAAGAGCACTGTTACGTTCGTGCCGTTGAAAAGCACTTCGGCGTCATCGTATTGCACGCAAGTCGGGACGCTATACATTGCACCCAGTCACCTACTGTCCATCAAGCTAAGGCAAAGTGAGTGTGTCGCCGATCAAAGTGTTCGCGCCAATATCGCATGCGAAGGGGGTGGGATGGGTGTGCTCTTTCTGCTGTATTTTGCGCGTGCCCCTACGAAAATCACCAATATAAATATATAGATCTTGCTTGGGTACGTGATATTATTCAGCCGCAGTGTGCGAACTATGATGCTCGCGGTGGGTTGGCTTTTTGCGCACGTCGTTTGGCTGGCGCACCGAGACAATAGGTGGTGAGAGAGAGAATCGCGAGTAACGATCCACGAAGGGAAAAGAGGGAGAGAGTGAGTGCGAGGAGACAGTAGCAGAGCAGACATAGAGAGAACGAATATCGAAATTCGATCACAGGTATCTGTCACACTCAATACTTCGCTCTCTCTCCCGCTCACTCTTTCTATTTGCGTGTATTTTTATCCTTTGGCATGCGAATAGTGGCATAGCAACAAAATCAGTGTCGAATATACTTTACGGTTTGCTTTTTGTCATTGTTGTTGTTGAATTATAATTCACTCAACTCTTAATTAAAGGGACGGTGGCGGCAGTGTCGGCGACGGTGGTAACGGAGAATGGAAGGTGAATCCTTGCAAGGCCTCGCGGAGGGTCGAGTAAAATCCAGCCTCTAAGGAGAAGTAGCTCGGCGTCCTCGGCGGGACTCAAAGAGCAGCAAGCCGATATCATCTCTGGTCTGCGCTCGCGTCGGGGATGTCGCAGCAGCAAGTCTCAGCCGGCTCACTCCTCGCACCGTCCGCGCTCAGTATCGCCCAAAAGATCATCTTATCAACACCTTGCAGTACGTTGGCCTGCTTGTTGACACTTGCTTCATTCGAAACTTTCCGTTTGACTGTGCACTTCGTGTAATCATGCTATTTTTATTCCACACCCTGTCTCCTTCTTTTTCCCGAATTTTGTAAAGGCTCAACAACAAAGGCTACAACAGTCTTGGGAGATGTCTTACAGCGATGGTGGAGGCAGTGGTCGTTCTTCACGTAAGGGTAGTAGATCTCCCAAAAAATTACGTGTCACCAAGGCTGATAATAGTGACAAAATAGTTACAACTGTTAGTTATGGTCATCGTCATCACCATCACCATTATCATCGTTCCCTAGAAGCGCAACCATCTTCGGTGCACAAGAAGAATCTCTATATTGTTTCTTTTCCATTGATTTTTTTGTTCAACATACTCAGAACTGTTATCTACCAGTTGTATATGATATTCAAGTATATCTATGCCTCCACCTCACATTTGATGCATAGAAAGCATTCTACTAGAAATACCTGTCAGTTAGAGATAATAGTTGATAAAGACAATAGTAATCATAAAAGCGACAGCGAGGAAATGTCACAAAATACAAAAAGAACAGGACCTGGTCCTGGAGACCCACTCCTAGCTAAACAGAAGCATCACCATAGAAGAGCATTTGAGTACATCAGCAAAGCTCTTAAAATTGACGAGGAAAATGAAGGTATTCATAGTTTTATGTGCATGTAAAGTCAAATTTACCTGTGCTTGTGCTGATGATTCCTAATCTTATCATTTTCTAATCTTAACATGATAAATGAACTAGAATCTTGTTAATTTTGAAATGATATTTATGAATATTTCATTTTAATTATTTTGGAGCTTAATTTCACATAAAACTTTTTCATTTCAAAAGTAATTCTTTTCATGGAAAATATCTAAAAGGTATTTGATGTAGGTAGGTAATGAAGTGTCACTTGGACAAGGACACCATGTGCACATTCCTTATATGGCATTGAAATGGAGCTATCTTGCTACTTTTAGAGTGAGTACTTTTAAAAACAAAGTCATATAAGGGACTTTTTTTCCAATTTCAGGACATAAAGAAATGGCCATTGAACTTTATAAGAAAGGAATTAATGAGTTGGAGAAAGGCATAGCAGTGGAGTGCAATGGAGGTCGAGGTGAGGTTTGGGAACGAGCTCAAAGACTCAACGATAAGATGAAGACTAATTTGGCAATGGCCAGGGACAGACTTGATTTTCTCAGTATGTTAATTTTTCTATTCCATGGCTTGTACTTTAGTTACATAATGTGTAATATTACCTGGGAACTGTACTGTAGATTTGTTATCCTGTAATTGTCATAGCTTTAATAATTGGCTACCACTAAATAGATAAATTGCACCATTCTAACACATTTATACACTCATAGAATTAATTGCAGTCAAAAATAGTACAGGTCTCAGGATCTGTAAAAAAAATTATTGTTTAGATCGGTTTTTCAATTTATTCGTATATAAATGTGATTGCATGAAAAGTTAAATTTTTCTAAATTTCTTAACTTACTTCTTTTTTTAAAACTTTACTTATACATCTTGATGTTTTTCATGTCATTTGCTATAACAAACTAGCTCAAACTAACATGCCAACATTTTAAAAGATTATTTATTTGATTTTAAAAGAGTGCCTTAACGAACATGGTGGTAATTTAAATTCTTCATTGTAATCCATTTATTAAATATACAGCATATTAAACACAACGATTAACCACCATGTTAAATCAAAATTTAATTTAAAATTCAGTCGCGGCATGGCAGTGAATTTTTTTTTTTTTTTGGTTTCATTTATTTTGTAGCAAGTGTGTGTGAGCTGAAAAATCTGGAAATAGCGGGAAATAACGAGGTAGTATCGAGTAAAAAGCATTGCAATGACGAGCAGCAGGAGCAAGAGCAACAAGGCCACAAAATTCTTAGACATCGGCGTAATAATACGCAAAAAAGTGTCATGATTAGCTCTCAGCAGCCAATTACCGATGCGAATAATACTCAAAAACACAAAAACAATGCACAAACTATGAGCACCTTACCGAGTACGTATAAGCAGCTTTCCAGGCCCGGTATGCAGTATTCGCGTACTAATACTGCCGCTACTTCAGCTACTGCTGCTGCTACTACCACTACTATTAAGACAACTAAGACTATCGCTAAGATTAATCCAGCTCGCACAACCGAAGGTATTGTATCATTCATTTTTTTTAAATTTTTTTCTCCCAACAGGTTGTTTAAATTAGACGTATAAAAGTTGGCTAATTCGCTTAGTTTTGTGGCTTGTATTTGTTTGCTTATTATTGTCGTTAAAAATGTGTTTTAACTATACGGCACTCTTTAATATTACGTTTTTTTATTTGTCGTACTGCTCATTATCTCATAATACATTAACACTAATATTCAGCGCATCCCGCAATTTCAACTTACCTTGTTATTCAATTGAAATCCCTTGATATTTTTATTGCACGAATGAGCAGCGAACGAAAGCGAATAAAAATAAAGTCAAATTGAAGTGAATTTCATTTAGACGCTCAACACATAATTTATATTTACATGTATTTGCATGTGTACGTGCTTGACAACAAAGTGTCACCGTTGACATTATGACTGCCAATAGCATATAGCGGTGCAATCTATCACGCTTAGCGAAGCATGAGAACTCTAGTGGGCTAGTCAAATGAAAGGGGGTTATAACGCTTGAAGATTTTGAAGCTTTCATTAAGAAAAGTTTCCATTCTCAAATCCAGCAATCTCATTTCAACATTTCATCAAATTTCATATTGCTTGCCCTACTAAGCTTCCACAAATCATATACGTATTTCTAACACGAAGCTTTTTGTTGCAACTGAAGCTGAACCGAAAACTTTTTCAATTTTTATTGTATCGAGCACCATTCATCAATTTGCAGCATCGGGTAGGAAGTTTCCAATACCCGGAAGACGTGTGACAGGTGCAGTCACAAACAAAAGTCAGACTTTGCCGCGAAACATGGGTCGTTCACAGCCAGTTTTACCGTGTCATCGAGCTTCCCTCGCCAAACCTTCATTAACACCACCCTCAGTGAAGAGGCAATTGTCGGTGCCAGGCAGTGAGTCGCCAATGCGTCGACGACCCACAACTCCGAATAACAATAACATCAACGGCGCTACCGGAAGCATGACCAACAGTAATAAAGGAACTCCCGTCCGCAAGTTGATACAGCTTAGGGGAGTTGAGCCTAAACTTGCTCAGCTCATCATGGACGAGATCATGGAAGGCGGTGCACCCGTGTACTGGGAAGACATTGCTGGACAAGAGGTCATTTAATTTCTACATTTAAGTTTCACTACTTTAAACAAAAATGCAAATGGACGGTTTTGTTTCTTTTCAGACTGCTAAGCAGGCCTTACAGGAAATGGTGATATTGCCAGCTCTTCGCCCAGAGCTGTTCACGGGTTTGAGAACACCGGCAAGAGGATTGTTATTGTTTGGACCACCGGGTAACGGTAAAACACTGCTCGCACGAGCCGTTGCTACTCAGTGCCATGCCACCTTCTTCTCCATATCAGCTGCTAGTCTAACGTCTAAATACGTGGGTGAGGGAGAGAAACTCGTGAGAGCTTTATTCGCGATTGCTCGAGAGCTCCAGCCGTCGGTTATTTTTATCGACGAGGTCGATTCTTTGCTGAGCGAACGCAAAGATAATGAGCATGAGGCTTCGAGGTAATACGATTTTTACACATTTTTGCTTAAAAGTGTTATAATTGTTAAATTATGAAATTTAACAATTTGAAATTTTCATAATAAAACGATTTAAAATTTTTTAACAATTTAAATTTGTCATTTGTAGGAGATTGAAAACAGAGTTTTTAGTAGAATTTGACGGTCTTCCGAGTAATCCTGATGAAAGAGTATTGGTGATGGCTGCTACAAATCGTCCGCAAGAACTTGATGAGGCGGCATTGAGGCGATTTTCTAAGAGAGTTTATGTTATGTTACCGGATTATCAGACAAGAGTTACTTTGTTGAAACGTTTACTGGCTAAACACAATGATCCTTTGACTGACGAAGAATTAAATCAGATGTCAGTATTGACAGAAGGCTATTCTGGAAGTGATTTGACTGGATTAGCCAAGGATGCGGCTTTAGGCCCTATCAGAGGTGATTGATGAGTTTTTCGAGAACTGGTAATACCAAGAATGTTTCTATTTAATCCTTTTTATCACTTTCATAGAACTTAATATGGAGCAAGTGAAAGATTTATCTTTGAACGCAGTACGCAACATAACGCTGCAAGATTTTATCGATTCGCTAAAAAGAATACGTAAATCTGTGTCTCCAGGGAGCTTAGCTGGCTATGAGAAATGGAGTCTCGAGTATGGAGATGTAAGTCTTTGATTGAGATCCTTGCGTGAATATGTAAGCAAGTTAGTTTCCGCGTAGCGTGCACAATTTTAAAACCTTTAGGAATAATCCACTTATTGTAACTACTTGGGATACCATAAATATTTCAAAACTCCGAAGGTATATTTCTTTGCCTACATATTTTTCAGAAGAGATAAAAATCACGCGCAAGTAGAAACACGTTAAAATTAAAATAAAAAGTAAGAAAATAAGTTGCAGTGCTAATAAATAAATTTTGATCTTGAAGACTCAACAAGCACTTTGAACTACCACATCGCGAAACTTACAAAATGCAACCTTGCACGTCCGCTGGAGATAATAAACAATAACCGTTAAATATGCTGTCATTAAAATAGACTAGACATTTTGTAGAATGTTGGGGAAAAATTTTCTAAATAGGACTTAGAGAAAACGAGTTTTTGTTTTTTTTTGTAAGGCAAGGCATGAGAAACCAGAAAATTATAATTAGTTACCATTAATAAAAGCAGGCTTATCAGATTCGATGCACGGTTCTACAAAACAACGAAACGAATGATATGAATGGTTTCCTATTACGCGGTTAAAAAACAAAGGACGCAATCAATTGCAAGGTATTTTTTATTCAATATATATATATTGTAAATCGTTGTTATGATAATCAAATGCGATAGCGAATAATTGGATTTCATAGTACGAAATTTGCAAGTACTATGAGGCCCCATCGCAATTGATAGAGCGTGTACTTACCATAAATGCATCTGATCAACAGATGCATTTTTTAATTACTCTACAACTATAACTTTAATAACTAGTCTTTATTGGTCTCAATACTGGTCATCTTTCCTTGCTTTGAGCAATACATTTATCTACTCATATTTACATGAAATCCCTACATTGTTATTTCTAAATTTATAAATTGAAATAGAATTGGATCAATTTTATTTTAAATGCTGTTATAAAATAAATTTTGATAATTAAAAATAAGCTTAGACACAAGGAAAGATGTTAGATTTCGATTAGCATACATTTAGAATATTTTAATCTTACATTCCGAAATAATTAAAGTTGGTTAACAAGTATATTATATTATTGTTGGTATTTATTAATTTATTTGTACAGATTAGAGATTCAACTTTATTCGTAGAAGCAAATAAGTATTTGCCAAACTGCGGTGCATATTTCAAGTTGCCATAATCTTTTTTCACCGTAAGATTTACTCACGGAAAAAAAAATTTTTAATATGACGGTAATAATTGATCTTACGAAGCGAGATAATTTTGCATGTTCTTATCATTTGTGAGGAAGAAAGCCAACTTTTTCGTCGTGTTTCGAAAAAGAATACGAGTTTTACAGTACTCAGTGTAGTTTGTAAGCATCGTGATGTCTACTCAGCGCATGTGATAAGGGCGTGATAAATGTAAAAAATTTGATGATGTCACTTTATTTGGTAATGAGAAAGTCAGGAAATCGTCTGTTTTTATGTTAAAAAATTACAAAGTTACCGTGCTTCGCCTATTACAGACTTCTGGGAACTGTTAATTAAGCCTCTAAAGTTAAAGGAAAAGCGAAACAAAAATCAAGTACAAAAGACATGGAAGGATAAAGTATTAATACATTTTCAAATGTGTTAATGTGGTATGCAAAAAAATTGTGTTAATGATCTCATTCCGAGCAATTAGATATTCTTTCTTGTTCTTTTTTTATTTAACGGTGCAATCACTTGCACTGTGACTGCTATATTTTTTTGTAATTTTATATTGCGTATTTCAATAAGATCATATGAGAAAGATAATTAATGTACTTTTGGAAAATAAAAAAGTGCGCATATACAAATTTTTATACGTACAGGGTACGAACATGACAGAACAAATAATCATCTCAATAGAGCGCAGTTCACGTTGTGCAAAGCAAAAAATATCTCATTGATCTACGAAACTTTTAGCAAAGCAACGTGTGTAATGCAAAGACGCACCTTTGGTGCTGTCCAGCCTTCCATACACATAATGGTTCTGCCTTGATCTAATTATTTTGCTACTTTTATAATTCATAGCAATAATAATTATAAAATAATGCGCAAAAGAATCATGTTTAAAGGTGAGCAAAATTGTGTGAGGCAAAATAGTCTGTTGTGAACTTCCTTTGCGTATTTTGTGATGAAGTCGATCGAATATTCGTATCTCTGTTGTTTGTATTAAGTCGGTATGACAACAAATATCCAAAACGACATTCAACCTGTTCTTTGTAAAATTATGTATTATGTAATAAGATCAAACTGATAATTATTGTATCTGTTCCTATGATTGATAAAGTATGTTCCAACGTTGTATTTGTGACAGTTGTTTAAAGTCAAGTAAAGATTTTCTCGAAGGTGTTGCCGGAAAAAGTGTCTTATTATATTTTATCTAATTTATATAGTGATAATTTATATTATGTTCATATCATTAATTAATGCTCACAGATGAAAATGGGAGAAAATATTCTTTTTTTAAATGACTAACTACTTGTGGATTTGCTTAAGCCATATGAAATGTAACAAATTGTTTAATTGGATTGCTCGATACGTAAGTTGTATATACATAGATAAACTGATCCGAAAAATCGACTGTTTATCTTTTTGAACCTTCTACTTTTTAACTTTCAATCAAGTCTTACTTTTTTATTTAACTAGATGTTTTTTAAGTCGTATAAAATAATTATAACACATTTGTATTTTAAATATTTATTCCTTCATCTCATTCAAAGGACAATTTGTTTTTATTATAAGATAACATTATCCTAAGCATTGTCGAGGAGGGCTTTACGCCCTACCGTATCTAAATTAATTTTTATATAACATTCTTCATTTCCGTCACTTTACTGATTCGTATTTGCTCAGTGTTTTTATTTTTTTATTATTTCAATCAATTATCTCATATAACTTTTTCTCACTCGCCATCCTTGCCTTGCATTACAATCAATCAAATTATACAAATTTGAATTTTTAAACTTACTATCTTTTTTACACTTGCTTTGTCTTATAAGAAATCGACAGAGTGGATATTTTATCACCAGTGGCCTCTTTAAAAAATCACGATTATTTTTTTTCTTTTTTTTATGTTTGAACAGTAAAAACAATACTGTACAATAGAATTTAGATATTAAAAATGGTAAGTACTTGGCATCAAATCATAGAATGGCTCTACTGAATATTACATAAGACTGTACAATGCTTTACATGTTTTGCGGAAGACGTTCGATCGAAGTTATAATTTCTAAGTAAAATTCTAAATTTTCAAATTTAACGGAATGGTAACATACTGAAATATAATGATCTGTAAAAAATTAAATATTAATTAGTGACCAAGCTTCGTTCGTCTTTTAGTCCGTAAAAATTGACTACTAAATCTGACTAGCGAAGCTGCAACAAATTATTACTTCAAAATAGAACATTCAAACTTGTCGCTGTACCGTGACTTTTACTTTTTTTTTGTAATTTGTAGTATTTTTATAAAAAATTATTGATTGAATCAATCAATCAGCCACTGGCGATAATGATTCGCAAAGCAAAGGTAAGTTCTAAAGCAAAAACGTTGTCATGTTAGTTTTTGCACATGACAAGGGCCCTGCATACGCGTTTGACAGCGTGTTTTGAAAAATTCTAGCTACATCACAGGCGGTGTATATAGCTATCGTTTCCTCTACCTTATACCTACGCATTCTCGTCTACCATAATCGCCGTTGTCGATTATGAGTGTTCAAATACTCCAAAAAGTCACTGCGTTCATTCGACCGTAAAACAACAAAGAAAAAAAATTGACATTTGAAAAAGACATGAGGGAACAAGGAAAGTAAAGAGGAAAGGGGAAAAAAGAAAAGGGAAGAATATTAAAAAGTACAACAATCGCAATGGTCATATCATACGCGTACATACAATATAGTGTACACCGCACAACGAATGCAGGGCTCTGTATGGGGTATCTCGAAAACAGATGATAACTTGTACCGACGCTTTTTCAACTTTCATTCTTTTTTTCTTTGCAAACAACGCGATAGTCCTATCTAATTTCTACTACTTAACAACTACGTATTACCGAAACAGAAAAGGCTATCAACTCTCATGCGGCTTTCTAGAAAAATCGTGTAAATCGTACTCTAGATCATTAAAAAATAGTTCAGAGCACTTTTCTTTTATCAAACCTGAACAGCATTTCTCTTTGTACTGTCGAACGAACAATGTATAAATATAATTATATGCATACCATACATGTGACTGTGTATGTGTGATCGTGTAAAGGTGCACAACAATTGCGTAAATCAAAAACCGTCAGTACAATCAAGAACGGCCGGTACGAGCGTGTTTAATCTGTTTTCGAGAAATCCCATAGTCAACTATTGCATACAGAACTTTCAGCTGTCATACTTTTTTTTGTTATTTTTTTTCTGATTTGTTTTTTTAAAAATTGCTCGTACCCTCTCATTGCGTGGGATACTGTGGTGGCATGGTATAAGTTACCATTGGTTGTTGCCCTGGAGGCAATGGTGTGGCAGATGTTGGCGGTGCCGTAGCAGCTTGTCCTGGCTGCCACGTTCCAGCGGCTGGTGTAGACATTCTCATGCTATTCATGTATTGAGCCTGTTGTTGCCCATAGTATTGTCCATAGTATTGAGCTGGTTGAAGAAATTGGCCTTGCATTGCTTGTGGATAGTTTGGCGGATACCAGTAACTCATTTGCTGCCCATATCCATAGGCATACTGACCCGTACCTGCTCCTGTTACCTACAAATAAATAATTGCTTATTACAAAAATAGATATCTTTTGAATCAAAATGTGCCAACAATTCAATAAAAAATTCAATGTAAACACAGTTGTAATGAGAGTATTATTATGAATTTTAAACACTCGATCACTTTCTATATATATTATATTTTTCCATTTACCTGTGGTGTTTGCTGATTTGCATTAGGGCCAATACTGTTTGGATCACCATTTTCTTTTCCCCAGAAACATTTAACAATGCTACCATTCACTTCTGTATTATGTGTTCTCTCAATAGCATGTGTAGCAGCTTCCTTTGTAGTAAATTTAATGAAAGCATAACCCTTATCTTTAAATACTCTAATATCTTGTATGGTGCCAAAAGGTGAGAAAGTTTTCGTTATCAAATCTTCTGAAATTCCATTTGTGAATCCACCACAGTAAACAGTACAATTGGTAGGGCTGCTCTGTTTGTAAACCTGTAAAGAAAAAGCATTGCAGCAATGAATCACAATTTCACATTACTAGACTTGGGTATCAAGCTTTTTCGTGTAAAATAAATGATTCAACTCATTAATTTCAGTCAAGTCGTAAAAGTAATAAGTAATTGTCAATGGAGTCTTACGAATTTGCATTCCAATGAAACTTGAATATTCAGTCATTTTTAAACTTCATACTTTATAAGAAATTATTCCAAGTTTTTTCAGTTCACTAAAAAAATATTTATGCATGTGAATGAATAAACTGACAATTTAATGCAGCAGAGTTGAAAGTGGATCAAGAAATATTAAATAACACTAATAAACTAGTAGAATTTGTTGTAATTAGAAAGTGATAAACATACATACAAAACACAGCAATATTGAATAATACTATTATGCGCCTGAGCATAAACAGGTCCTAAAAGTTTAATAAATTAATGAAATTCTATTAACCACCCGTACCGCGTAATTCGTGTTATTTAAAAGTTGGAAAAGAAAAATTTTGAAATTATTTTTTGATACAAGAACACTTATACAGATTGGCTTTCACAAGAGTAATTACATAAAGACTATTTAATAAATTTCAAGATAGGAGAAAAACACTCAATTGATTGAAGCAACATTAAGAAAGCTCGGCACAGGACTTGCTTCTTGGAATCAGACAAACTGTATAGTATTCTGATTTCAAAAGAATAAAGTCAAAAGATAAGCACACAGCACTCATATCTCAAAGAGATGCTTGCAATGGTAAACCCATGAAACGTAAAAGCGAGAAAAAGAGACAGTTACGTTACTATGGCTTCACAAGCTATCGGGATCAATTTGAAAGAGAGTTGAGCTGTGGCTGAGACATGAATATTTGTTGAGCTTTAAACCCGAACAAACCCATCGTACAAGAGGAATGACTGTCGAAGGGATGGCCACAATCGCCAGACAGACAAGACAGTCGTCTCAGAGAGTAATGTGGGTCGGCGTTGTTGGCGTTGATGGCAACGTACCTCCTCGTAGTTAGGCTTGTTGGCGCCGTGTTTGGTCCTCTCGGTGCGTGGCGGTGGTGGCTTCCTGGTGGACCAGTTGGTCCTAATGCTTCGCGAACCGAGCCACTGACCGTTCATTGCAGTGATCGCGGCTTCGGCATCACTCTTCTTCACGAACGAGACAAACGCGTAGCCCTTGCTCTTGAGTGTTTGCGGGTCCCGAACGATCCTGCAGTTGCTTATCTCACCGAAAGGGGTGAAGGCCTCACGCAGTGTCTGCGTCTCGATCTCAGGCGACAGATCGCCGACGAATATATGATGATGATTGCTGGTGTCGAGCTTGGGCTGATTGCCGGGACTCGTGGCCCAGTTAACCTTCATCTCCTTGTTAAGGAAGAGGCGCTTGTTCATGGCGGCGAGCGCGGTCGCCGCGCACTGGTGATTGGTGAACTCAACGAATGCGTAAGGGTCGTTACCGGCCTCACGGATGATCTTGCAGCCTTTGACTTGGCCAATCTGCGAGAAGAGGGCGCATAGCAGGTCCTCCGACACAGTACCGTCGAGATTGCCCACGTACAGCGTACGCGGATTGCTCTCCTCGCTCATGCTCATGATCTCGTCGTTGATCTCTAACTACTGCACACCTGCTCTCGATGATTCAGCCGCAGAGGACGGACGGAACGAAGGAACAACAAAATACACAGCGATCTCGAGTTAAACACGCGCACCAATAAGCAATAGCGCCAGCGGCGGCGGCGGCGGCGGCGGTGGCGGTCAGCGGCGTTGCAACACACCGTAATCCCGTCACCAGCAGCACCCTCAGAACTTATGGCTTACCTAGCAGCAGCTCCTTCCTTCCGTCCGGAGAGAGCGAAAACGCGCAAGCTCTCTCGCTATCTCTTTCTCCCGCACTCTGCGTGCTGCTACGGTAGCGCTCTCTAGGCAATTATATTGCTGCTGCTCACTGGCTGACTGCTGTTATAACACTGCTGTTTGACTGAGACCGGTGCGAAGAGAGCAGCGGCCACCTTTTTCTCTGTTTCTCTCTCTTTCGCTCTCGCTGGCTCGCTACACCAATGCTCGCTCTCACCACTCGATGTCGTCGATGTGTATGCGTGTGCAGCGTTTTCCCTGTAAAACACACACTTTGAGCCGACCTTGTCACTCTGTGCGCCTTGGCATCGAAAGTTCTTTATCGCGTGCGGTTTGCAGGCTAGAGCTCCGCTTCGAACTCACTTTTTTACTCACTCACTTTATGCGAGAACGCACACTCCTTTTCCTCTCTTTCTCTCTCGTTCGCTCTTTTACTCGACAGTTTGTCGGCCAAACGCGCGTGCGTGCACTACTCGACTCGACTTCACGACGACTCACTACTCTCACGAGCACCGCAGCAGTTCCCTACTTTTACTCGGCAATGCCATGTGCATGTGCCTTGAGACTCTTGAGAGCGCGGTTTCAAATCCACAATCCACATTGGACAAGCTCTGATAGTGTAAGTGTATTGCTGCGGCTATCGCAGGTACACCAACGAAACAACTTATCGTTGAAAACGCCAACACCCAGCAACACGTCAGACTAACACAGAAAATGGCCGATTCTTCTAATCTAACACATGCATTCACGTATACGAACAACTACACGTAAATTTACGCTGTATATATGTATATAGATATTCCCTGCATTCTACAATAGAGAGTTTCGCTGTGTAAGACTCTCTACATGGAATTTACTATAAGAACAAACTTCAGGTTGAGCGCTCAACCACCGCGACTCGGCGTGTGTCTACGCGACGCACGCGCAATATCAGTCATCTGATTCAAATTGAATTAAATATTACCAGTTCTCATTATTACTATTATGACCAAAGACAAGCACGATTGCTCCATTATCAACGTCATAGCACGTTGTGCGGGCTTTGCCATACGACAATAATATTACTTACCTGCATACATTCAGTTTGTTCGATTATTATGACAACGTGCTGTCCATCTTAATTGTATTTCAATAAACACGCGAGTACGTCACACAACAATGACTTTCTGTATATTAACTACCGATTAAAATGATGCTTATTGTCTCTGATAACTCCTACGCAACTTGTCATACACCTGTATTTTGTGTTTCATTGCTTATCTTGGCGATCAGTGCTCGGGGGTGTGGTGTGAACAGAAAAATATTTAATTCATGTTTTCAACTTTAGATTAATTAAATTACTTTGTTCATTAATGCATAAATTAATTGGATTCATTTGAGAATTTTACCGTCCAACGGAAACAAAAAGAATTACGTTTGAAAAATACGAATACCGGATATACCATATATATATATGTATAATTTACATTGTTGGAGGGAGCAATGTTCGTGGCTTGTAAATTTCAGAATATACAAGAGAATGACGGGGTTTTGTGACGGGAAAACATGGAAAGGCTGGCTAAGGTAAGAATGAATAGAATAGAAAGATTTTACCACCCCGAAAGAAGCGAATGGGCCTCACGCGACTTCGAGTTAGCCTGAAGGGAACCCTGGTTATGACACGCGGCAATAGTCCCTTATGTTTGTTTTGTTTCGAGTGTTAAATAATAAAGGAGATTTGTACTTGGATAGGAATAATAATTTTGTGTTATTATTCAATCTTGTGTTCGATTAATTACCTGTATACCTAATCACCCTGGCTTAATTGTTCAATATTCTACATATACAAACACACATTAACTATAAATATATGCAAAAGTTATCTTTGAAGTATAAAAGAAGTAAATATAAATTAATGCTTTTACAAACGTTGAATATTTTTAAAGCAAAATGTAGGATTTACGGAGACAACAGCAAATGCAAAATTATTGTTTTTAAATTTTCAAAAGAAAATTCGAAATAGAATTAGGTGGATCTTCATGTGAAAGTCGATCGTTAATTGATACGCACTAAAATACGTTGTATTTGAAAAAATATGATGAAATTGAGATTTTTGGAGAATTGGATGTATTCAGGAAAAATTATCACTTTCGCTGAATCAGTTCCTTAATTGAAGTTTATGTTTAAAAATAATTTTCGTGGAAAAATAGTGTAGACAAAAGAATTTATCGTTATTTTCGTTTACAAGCAATTGAAAATAGACCCGCGAACTCTGCGACTTTTATTGTAACACGTGTATATGTACACATAGTCGTTTGATTTGGATAGCCGAGAAACATGAGATAAGTTGCTTGTTTACTTGTAGATTTTATTTGTAAATAAATGGTTTTCACGTTTGATTCTCAATATATAGTGAACATTAAGCTTCATAAGCATTCGTACGTCTTATATAAATTCATCGCGCAAGCATATCTTTTTTTGTATGATCTGTGATTACGACCGCATATCACGTTTGAGGTTAATGTAGCGTGGCATACGATTATTGTTTGTATTGTAAATACTTTTTATCATTTATTTTGACTCAATAATTGTAGTAAAGCTCACGAAAAGTACAAGTTTGTAAAAAAATTTTATCAAAATGTCGCAAGATGAATCCTGCCAAGTTCGACAAAATAATGAATTAGAAGTTTTAAAGGTATGATTGGATTTTTTGAAATTTTACCTCACTTATTTTTACTTTATTTTTCAATTGTAGTCTATCTTTGGAAATGAATTACGTGATCTACGTACAGCTAAACAAAAAAAAAAAGGTTATCCATTGGATATTTTAATTACTTTAATACCACAGAAAGGTATGTCTGGTCCAGTGGAGGTTTATGCCCAGGTTGATTTACAAGTGACCTGTAGTGATAACTATCCTCAAGAGTAAGTATTTATTAATATCTCTGTAAGTTTAAAGATCTATATAATAATCATGTAAATTACTTTTGTAGAGTCCCAAAACTTGAGCTAAAAAATAGCAAAGGTGTATCTCATAGACATTTAGCAGAACATTTGTTAGAGTTGCAAAATCTTGCTGAAAAGTTGAAAGGAGAAGTTATGATATTTGATATTTGTCAATACGTACAGTCTTTTCTCAATGAGCACAACAAACCTGGGTATAGTAGTTTTTACGAAGAAATGGTATTGAAAAACCAAGAGAGGATTCAAGTTGAATTGCAAGAGAAACAGCTGAAAGCAGATCAAGAACGACAAGTATTGCAAGATGAGGTTTTGAAAAGACAGGAAGTACTTAAAGCGGAACTGCGCAATCGTCACGAACCAACGCGCCTATCACTTGAATCTGATGCAATTATATCACAGTCAATATCATCTTCTCCTCTGGAAAGAGTTAAAACATTTTCAAGGAGAAGATGTATGAGCACATCTGAAAGTTCTGGAACTTCACTGTGTGAGCATCAAGGAATTAAGCTAATACATTTTGATAATAATAAGAGTGAAAGGCAAGTTTACAGAGGTAAATGTCTGGGCCATAGTTCAAAAGGATCAATAGTGTATGCTGGAGTAGATATAACAACAGGAGAACTCCTGGCAATAACAGAGTGGATTGTAAAGTTTGGAAAATCAAAAGTTCTCGATGATGGAGAATCATTAGATCAACAAAGCATAATGAAAGCAATAGCCAGTATTGAGCAAGAACTGAATCATTTAAATAAACTACATCATGATAATCTAGTGCATTATTTGAATATGAAGTATTTACAGGATCAAGACAATATTATCATTTACATATTGCAAGAATTTGTGGTTGGCACTACTTGTTCATTTTATCTTACAGAACGCATTCCAGTGGCTGCAGATATGCTGAGATATTTGACTTTGGGAATCTTAAGTTCTCTCAAATACCTACATGAAAACAATGTAGTGCACAAAGATTTACGAGACTCGAGTGTACATATTGATCAAACTGGGCTAGTTCGACTTTCGGACTATTCTCTGGATAAACGATTGTCAGACATTTATCAGTCTAAATCTATTGCTAAAGTAGAGAATGATTTTCCTACAATACAAGGAAGAGGTGGAAAAAAGGCTGATATTTATAGATTAGGTATACTTTTATTATCCCTATTAAAAGGTTCAATTGTGTCGCAGAAAGAAGTGGAAATTGATTTTACATTTCCGGTATTTATAATTCTATGTTCATTCTTTTATTATTTGCAAAAAGTTCAAAGTTAAATATAGCCAAGACATTTTTTTCAGCCTGATCTAAGAGATTTTTTAAGCAAATGCTTAGATGACAATGAAAGAAATCGTTGGTCTGCGGAACAATTACTAGAACACGGTTTTTTAAAAACTCCCATTGAACGTGGTTTATCTCCACCTAAACAACATAACAATCAGAATAAGAATGTGATTCAACCGGAAGAAGAATCTAACGCGGATGTGCAAATACATTCACCTGCTTATGGTGGTCAGTCACGTATTCATAATGAATTTGAACTGCTCAAGTGGTTGGGTAAAGGTGCTTTCGGATGCGTTTTAAAAGTTAAAAACAAACTTGATGGTGGCATCTATGCTTTAAAAAGAATCGAATTGAATCCGAAAAAGAAACATCTACACAAAAAGATCACAAGAGAGGTGAAGCTATTGTCTCGATTGAATCATGAAAATGTTGTCCGTTATTATAATTCTTGGATTGAAAGCGCAAAAGTGGATGATGATTCGATACACAGTCGTCTCACGCCAACTACGTCAACTAAACTAAACTCAGATAAAACTTCAAATCCTGACGAAGTGAGTATTTTATTTGAAAGAAACCCTATTCCCTTCATAATTATTGGTTTTTTATCAAAGGACTTTGGTAATGCGAAGATTAAGTGGAATGTTTCTCATGAAACACGAGCGAAGGCTACGATTGCAGGTAATCGCAAAAAAGACAATGTTGACCGTTCTAGCGATGAGTCCGATAGTGATGACGGGTGGTTTGTGTAAGTTTTTACGGAGTTTTATTGCGAATGATAACTTTTAATTTTGAAATATATTTTAATTAAATTTGTATCAACTTTGATAACAGTAGTATGGGAAAGAAAGACGACTCGTCGTCGGGAGGTATTGTATTTGTACCTGAAACATCCCCGGAGAAAGATGAGGTACAGGATTTACAAGACGAGGACCAAAATAAACAAGAGACTAAAAACGGTTCCACAACCCCGAAAGAAATTCAATTTATGTATATACAGATGGAATTTTGTGAGAAAAGCACACTAAGAACGGCAATAGACAATGGATTACACAAAGATGAGGAAAGAATATGGCGTTTGTTTCGGGAAATCGTTGAAGGTTTAGTGCATATACATCAGCAAGGTATGATTCATAGAGATCTCAAGCCAGTAAACATTTTTTTGGACAGCAATGATCACGTGAAGATTGGCGACTTTGGTTTAGCAACAAATATTATATCTGCTTTTAATCAACCTTCGGAAACAGAGACTGGAGTTAACAACAAAAGTATTAATTTACTTTAAAAATCATTTTATTAAAATAATAGAAGACTTTAACCATATTTTTTTATTATTTTCTAGAGAGCTTGGAAATGGATGATCTTAGATCATTGACAGGCCACATTGGTACAGCGTTATATGCTGCTCCAGAATTATCAGAAAAGGCTGCAAAAGCTATTTACAATCAAAAGGTTGATATTTACAGTTTGGGCATAATATTTTTCGAGATGTGTTCTGAGCCATTAAGCACTGGTATGGAAAGGGTACAAGTCCTTATGAATCTTAGATCGAAAGAAATTATTATGCCTGATGAATTAAGCAACAATCAGGCGATGTCAAATAAAGTCAATCTTTTACGGTAAGTTTCTACTGCATAAGAATTAAGAACAATTTGCTCAATTATACCTACATTTTTATGAGTTTCTCAGTTGGTTATTGAATCACGATCCAAGTCAAAGACCAACCTCGCAAGAATTATTGTCTTCTACTTTGCTACCACCGCCACAGCTTGAAGAAGATGAGCTTCAAAAAATGGTTCGCCATACTTTGTCAGATGTACAAAGTAAAGCCTACAAATACCTTATTTCCTCTTGCTTCTCTCAAGAGATGATACCCGCAGATGATATTACCTATGATATGAACGTGCCGACAAAAGGAGTTCCTAATTTTCAAATCCTTAGTTCATTTCAAGAAAATATCAAATCAAAAGTCATCGAAGTATTTCAAAGGCACGGAGGAGTATGCTTCACTGCACCATTGTTCATGCCAAAACTAGGTTCACTTTACAGTCAGACAGATACATGTGTTCGTGTAATGACTCGTAATGGTAGTATTGTTACTATTCCTCACGACTTACGCGCACCTTTTGCACGCTATGTTGCACGTAACAATATTTTCAATATTAGAAGATACTCAATAGGAAGGGTGTACAGAGAGAAGAAGGTAATGTAGTGTTGTAACAACATAAATATATGGTAATTATTTGTTTATTTATTTCCAGGTTAGTGATTTTCATCCTTGTGAGTTGTACGAGTGTGCCTTTGACATCATTAGCCCAAAGGCAAACAACTTGATGTCAGAGGCTGAGCTTATTTACATCGCCTGGGAGATTTGTAATGAGATACCTCACCTCAAGGAACGGAACTTTATCGTCCGTATTAATCACACGTCGTTGTTGCAAGCTGTTCTAATGTACTGTGGCGTCGAACGTGAAAAGTATCAAGATATATATTCAATGCTATGCGACGCACGTGAGGGTAAATTTTCGCGCTTCCAAGTGCAGACTCACCTGATAAGCTTGTGCCTTACTGATCAGGCGATGGAGACACTATTCAATTTGTTTGAGACCGAAAATTCGATGGCGAAAATCAATAGCATTCTCAAGACAATTACAAAGAGGAAAGGAGATTCGGCGGCACTTGCAAAAGAAGGCATCGGAGAAATTGACGAAGTTATAGCTCACATAGAAGCGCTGGGAGTAAAGGTTAATATTTTTCCAATGGTTGGATAATACTATTATAATAGATACAACAGGTTAAATTTTGTCATTTTTACAGTGGCCAGTCACAATTACGCCACTGTTAGTGCACAACATTAATCAACATAGTGGTGTAATTTATCAAATCACTTGTGAAATTAAGCGACGAAAAAAACGAGGTGGACAGGAAGTAATTGCTGCTGGCGGAAGGTAATACGGATATTCACTTTGTGCTTAATAACCCGCTTTTTTTGTATTTGTTATCCACAAAAAGTATTATATATTAGGTATGACAAGATGCTAGCGTCTTTCCGAGAGGTCTTAGAGCGCACAAATTTGACAGGCAAGGAAAACAAGCAATATGGCGCGGGAATTAGCATATCACTTGACAAGTTGGCATATGCGTCATGCGAATCATCTGAAGAAGATCTATACTGGAATAGAAAATGTGCCGTCGACGTAGTAGTCTGCTGCGTGGACGGAGAACCTCGTCGTAGAAAGGAACTTGCTGATGTTTTGCGTGAACTTTGGTCATTAGGTCTCAAAGTAACTTCCTTGGACTTTGATACGTCTGAAGAGGTTTTGGAATATTGTCGAGAAAGTGGTATCAGTCAAGTAATATTGCTGAAAAAAGACGAAAAAACCCACTTGAGGATACATACTTGGGAGAGAGAGAGATATCAAGAACGTAAGATTAGTATTTATGACCTGGGTGACCAAATCCAACGTCAAAGCGAGAACGTTGCACCGATTTCGCTCAATAGATCTGAAAGTAAAATAAGTACCAATTCGGAAGTAAATGTCTCGAGTACCCCTCACAACGTTAATATTAACTTTGTCCTCTCCGAACGTGATAAATTGTCTGGAAGTGGCAGAAGAAGTTACAAAAATAGCATTGCCACACAATTGTCTTCTTATATGCAGAGAATTTCACCCAAAGTTCCTATCGAAGTATTTGCAGTTTCTCTTGAAGTGACTGTCGTTCGGACCATCACCAATTTTTTGGAGATTGACGACAGTGAGCAGACCTTCCAAAAAAGCGTTCAAGTATTGATAGACAAGTACGTCTCATTATCTTCTAACGAACCATTCATTTAAGGTGAAAATGTTTCAATAATCCAATTGATATTTATTTACAGGCATCCGCGTCATAAAAAGTATATAAAGCAGATTTGTGACGAAATGTGGGAAATTCGTACAGATAAACCACGTCCTGTTTTGATTCTTTACAGTTTGACAGACAGTGGGTATATGACACTGATGTGAAAGAGAATGAATGGAGATAATGTACAAACTTTTGATAATAAATTTACACATTTATTTTTATGATGAACAAAAAAATTAATGTACTATGCTGATATACTATCTGCTTCAAAATTTATCAACCCGTCACGGCTACTCGCGTAATTTTGAAAGTCAATTATCAAAACAAAAATGCTCGATGACGTAATTAGTAATGAGATCACTTTCAAATTGAAAGTATTTTTGATAAAGCCTTTCAAAGCCTTTCACATGAAAGTTCAATTAAGTAGGTCAAAGACGACAGAAGTTGCGAGTTCAAATCTAGACTCTAAAGCTCGTAGTATAATTTAGGGCGACATTTGCCCCTCGCACATCGTTTTATCAGTTGGCTATTGTCAATGCGTTATCTGTCAAAGTCTGTAGTTATCAGAGTGTGTATATAGTGCAAAACCGCCGCCGTGTGAGAGTTTCCGAGTGGAGTATGTCGTGTACGATGATTCAAACAGCGTTCCGCGCGAGCTGAATGAGGCGTGCACGCTGGCGGGAATGTGCGCATGCACGCATATGTTCTGCCTGCATGCTTGCACAATGACGTTTCAAAACAAAACAGTAGTTGCTCGTATTTTCGTGCGAAAGCACACAACATCGTAAACGCGCGCGAGCTGAGTGTGAAAACTGCGGACGCCTCAAAGTGTGCGGGCGAATGCTATAATTCCGGGGTCTCACCCACGGCTGCTGCGGTGAGATATGCTGCGTAATCAGGCAAATTTACACTGCTGTGGAAAATGTCCAAGAGTCTGGGGTTACTCGAGATCGAGAAGTGCATCGCTTCGAGGTTATGGTACACAGCCTCTGCTATCCTTACCAGTGAAATCGAGAACCACTACCTGGCCAACTATACCAAGAACGACATCGAGCATCTGCTCCAATTAATTCACAATGCTATGTAAGATGTTTTTATGCGATAGGTGCTTCTCTTTCCTACAAAATAAGGCAGTCGATATTTTCAAGGATACTTGTTTATAAATGCGCACATGGCTGCTACCTTACAACGCAATAATTTTGTGCGACGCAATTGTTGTACTTAAGTTTTTTCTTCTACTTTCTTATTTTTAGAATTTCCATCGAGAACAGACGGCAATATGAGTGGATTAGTCATAATTTGTTATTGTTGCTCGATAAGCGCAATTCAGCAAAAACCAAAGAAAAATTGGATCTTATAGAATTTCATTCCAATTTGAAATTAATCAGCAATGAATTACCAGAATTTGTTGAAAAGGTGATTGCTTCTTGTTATTCATTTGTTTTAATCATTTTATTGTCAGTAATTCATCCTGTTTAATAATAATAGTAGTACCATATTGAATGTCTAAAGCACGTTTTGTTTACTATATGCTTTTTCCAAATTAACTAATAACTTTTTACTTTCCAACAGGAACTGTTAGAATTATTTCAAGCAATTTTAAATGCCAAGCAAAGAACCACTTCGTATACCAACAAGATTTCTACAAAGTCCCTTGAATTTTTAGAAACTATTTTATGTACAAAGCCAACACTCACTTGTTGGCTTATTAATGATTTATTGTATTTATGGCCTACATCTGATTCAGTTTTGCAAGATGTTTATTCATGTGCTTTGAAAATTATCATCGATAAAGACAATGTAAACAAACACTTGGGTGCTATATTGTGTATATTATCTCAATTAAATCTCACAGAGTGTAAAGAAGATCAGTTGTTGAGTTGGCTTTATTCACATCTATATAAGCTGCATAACTCTGATCAAATAGAATTAGCACTATACTCCAGGAAGAATGCAAAATTTTTAAATGAATGGCACAAGTTCTTAGATGATAAGAATTTTAGATCAATACCCATTGATAATCTAAGTAGTGCTAACAAGATTAGCAATGTTGTATTTCTGACTAATGGCAATAATGTAAACAAGCCCTATCTACATGCTAAAGAGCTCACCTTGAGAGTAATTAAGCGAGAAGTGCATTGGCTGTTGGATATTTTGGTAAAATGTATTTGCAACTCCTGAGTTTTGAACTATATTAATTTATTGTTTTGTAATATTTTTTGTTGAAATAGGACATATGTGCAGTATTGGTCGAGAATGGAGAATACGACAAAACTTCGAGAATCCTATCCTGCCCATTACTCCGAAATTTATGGCCGTCGCTGCTGCTGCACTATCTGCACAATTTACCTCACATACCAATCACTACCGAAACGATTACATGGCAGAGAAGTCTGAATATTTGCGAGTCCCTCAAATTTCTACTGACCAAGTGCTGCTACGCACAGTACGAGTACAACGAGCCGATTCTTGTCAACCTCAATGCTTGTCTTAATAGTCGTCTCGCAGTGGTTAAGTGGATACTCGAGTACCGTAGAAAGAACTCAACCACTGTCACCGATCCAAACCTGTCAGTCAAGCGAATACTGAATGGACTTCAAGACTATTGTATTCTATCCGTTCTCAAGAAAAATATCGATATTCACGAATGCAACTATAACGATTTGGAAAACCTACTAAAAGATAGAGATGAGGCCGTGCGAGTATTTGTTTCTTATCGAGCGATGCAGATTGCGTTGAAGGCTATCATTGCCAGTGAGTCGTATAAATTAAGATTAAAGGACAGCACTGCGAGTTACTTCATGGATATGGAGACTCTTATAAACACGATTAATCCGCTGGCACTTCGTCTTGAGGTAGTCGAAAACGTGTTCTCTATGCTGTTTCTTCGTCACGATGCACACTTCAACGTTTCCGAGGGTACCTCTGAGGAAGAGGACTACGAAAGTACTTTTGTGGAAAAAGAGCGTCAGAGCTCGGCGTATGAAAGTCGCGAGTCGGAGACGCATCGAACGCGCTACGGATTCGTCTCTAATAAACATTCGGTCAAGAAAATACTGAACCACTTAAAACGTTGCATCATTCAAGTAGGCATTGACTTTGCAAAGCTCAGACGAAAAGTTGGCGATACGATGGACCTAAAAGCAGTGCAAAAGAGAATCTTTGCCATAGACAACGTATTATCCGATGCATTTTGGCGTCTTGAGCTGTTGACTTGTGGCGACGTAATAGAAAGTCGCGAAGAGTTGCTCATTGAAAATGCCATTTCTTCGCCGACCAGCGAGTCCGAAACGGACGAGAAGCTGAACTTCTCCTTTAGGATGAAAAGTAAGTCGATATTTTACAATCAGCAGAACGAGAGCTCCTCCGAAGATGGTGGCAAGGATCTCAAGTGTGACGTCGACGTATCCTCGGAAACAGGTTCCACAGACGCCATCGCAGTTGGTCCGAAGCGCAGGAAGAGAAGCAAAAACTTGGTAACGCCTATCGATGGGACAAGCTTGAAGAATACCAACTCGAAATTTATCGTCAACCTCATGTTGGCGTCGAAGGAGAGTTTAGTGCTACAGTGCTTATGGAAGGCCGACTATCCTCGAGCACAACAGGTCATCGAAGTAAGTTCTCACAAGTGTCTTATGGTTTTCTCCAGCTGCTCATACGCGTCCTCTTCGAAAATTGTTGGTTCGTACGTGGTTGGTTTATCTTTTTCCATTAATGTGCCCGGTGGATTGTCAATGAAATACTTCTGATCTTCTACGATTGCTCTCCGTGGAAAGCAGATTGTACAGCGACAACAGCAGCAACACCATCCTGCAAACAAATCGTACAGTTGACCGGATAAAATTTCAAAGCTTTTCGATTTAACATATTCACCATATTGACACCAGCAAGGAATAGCAATGCACGTGTAAACGCAGAACCAAATTCGTACGATTTTCCACACTCGTCCGAGAGCCTTATTTATTTGAGTGCGATTGCGTGCACTGTGAAAATCGTCTAAGGCACATCTAAAAGCTTTAATTCCGTAATTAAAACCTTCAAACTTAGAGCAATTGCGCGGCTTTCTAATGTCTATCGCTTTTTTTATCAATTTTTGTAGAGATTTCTGAATCTCGTTGTCTGTATAGTCAAACGTAACGTTTTCTGTTTTTATATCTTCTATTTCCAAATCGTATTCGGGAATGATTTTTTCATATTGCAGAGGTTTCGTCGTCTCTATTTCCTCAGTGGTCGTTGCAGCGGTCGGTTGTTTAAACGTCGTTTTCCAAGTAGTTATCGCTGGTTTATCTCCTATTCTTCTCGTGGTCGTTGGCTTAAGACTTATTTTTGTAATAAACATTTTCGTGGCACTTCCGGAAATTGCGGTGGTGCTACTCGTTTCCGTGAACTCTTCAATCGCAATTTCAGTTGTTTTTTCAAGAGAAGTTGTAAAAATGTCCAGCATTTGTTTTCTGGTTACTACATTGCTTGATTCATAAATTTGAGTCATCACGTTGTTTAGAGTCGCTGCTGATGTGTAAGTTTTACTGGTAATCTCCGTTTGTCCAAATTCGTCATTCGTGTATGTGCTAATTTGCTTTTTATTTTCTTCGTAATCTAACATTGAAGTTGACAACAATAATTTCGTTAGCATAGTATCTGAAGTAGTTTCGACTGTCCCAATCAACTCTGTGGAGGGTGCAGTAGAACTTTGCAAGGTCGTTCTTTGGGTAGTAGTTGCTCCTGTAATTTGCAAAGTTGAGCTTGCAGAGATAGTAGTTTCTTGAGTCGAGGGCGTTTCTGCAATTTGTGTAGCTGAACTTTTCAACGTAGTTTTTTGTGCCATTGTCGTTTCTTCAATACGCTTTGTCAGTTTTGCGGAAATTGTACTTGTAATTTTTGTACTTGAACTGCTTCGAGTAATTTCCTCATCGTAGTTTTCATAATCGTATAAGTCGGGAGTACCCGTAGGTTCCAATGACGAGTTATCAAATTCATCTGGAGTTATTTCAAACTCTTCAAAAGTATCAGTTTTTGCTATCGGTTTACGAGTCGTTGAAGAAAGTGTCATTTCATCTTCAGTATCTTCGTCTTCAATATCTTCATTTTCTTCGTCGCTATCACTTCTTTTCGTCTTTTCACTTTGTTTTAATTTATTGATAATCACCCATTTTAACGATCTAATCAAAGGGCTAACATTATTTCTAAATCTATTCATATCTGCGCTAAAATTAAAACACACAAAGGATATAATTATCGAGGCGGTTTTGCGGTGATAAAAGAGCAGCGATTGATTTAGTTACACGAATTTATTATCACGCAAGGGAGGTCATAAATGTGGATAAAATTATGGAGAAACTTTATCAATTGACACCTTTTGATGGTGGCCGTGGCGATCGATCATTAAATTGTGCGACGAACGAATGTAATGGCATAAACTTCTCCTCGTCCTTGGCTAAAGATTCAATGTGTTCAATATCTTTCGGCTGAATCATTTCACTTTCGTCTTCGTCGTAATCATCATCGTAAGATCTAATAACAAACGATCGCGTATCGTGCAGATCTATCTATCGAGTGGAGACAAATAATGATGCTTTTTCTTGAAATTGATTTCAATTTATTAACGATATTTATATTTTGGCCTTACCGTTTGCGAATCCGTTAAAGTGCATTCAACGAAGCCAATGGGCAACGCAATAAAAAGAAATGATAAAATTAACATTGCCATGGCTTTCGAAATCATTGCGCACGACATCGTTAACAACTTGAACTTGGTTGTAGATATTTAACCTGAAGAGCACGCAGCTAGATGGGCACGTTCGATTTTCGAAAGCCATGCAAAATTTCAGACACGAAATGCTGAAACAATCGAATTCCTTGGATACTGTAGATTCTACCAAGAAAAACAAAGAACTCCATCTCTTTGAGGTAAATTGAAAATATAACCATTTTTCTGAAAGAATAAATAATGCTCTAAACAAGTTATTATTTATTTAATAACTAAATAAATAATGATTTTTCGTCTGCAAACTATGAAAATGAGACATATTTTAATTGATACTTCAGAATGTCAGGCGAGCAGCGCAAGGCGGTTTCCAAAGCTCGCGAATCGCAAGCCAACTCGAGACTTTCATTGCCTCGCAAGAGGCGAACGCTCATCTCCTCGCGACCGAGTCTCTGAGTACTCGTGAAATTCTCACCTTGTGCGTCCTGGACTTGGCATTGACATTGACCTCGACTTCAAACCATCAGACCAGTTTACTCGATGTGGCTCAAAAATATCTGAAGCTTTCTCGCAAGCTTGAGGGTACACGTCACGCTGACCATTTTCTTAAGGTATATCGTCTAGTGCAAGAAACAAGTCCGACAAGGTCGGTGCCAAGTTTGCTGTGCGATGCTTCAATCCCCTTGAAACTCCAGGACTGGAGGGAGAAGACAGAGTTTTGGAGTCAGCTCTCGGAGAAGACTAAGCAATTTCAAGCGACTCAGTGGCTGTTAGATCAATTGGATAATAGTAAGATTAACGACAATGGACCTGCGCTCACTGGTCAAACGGTCTTCCACGAGGTCATTGCTCTCTGCGGTAATGGCGAGAGCTATCTGCACAAGATTTTGGCTCACCTAGAAATACTGTACTCTATTGTTCCTCACGGTATGCAATTACATCTTTCAAATACATTTATACTCTTTTATTGAGCTTATTATTGAACTAATAATTTTCAGATGAACGAATTGACACTAAGACAGAGTCAGTCTTGCTCAGCAATTCGGTAGATTCCTACTTCGGGCATCAAGTCTTCGATTTGAACATCGAACCTGAAAGTCTCGAAATAATAGCCAATAAACTTGGAGTTAATTTAGTTCATAATATTTTAGTTAATTGTTGCCCTAAGCTTACTTGTTATGATTCGTTATGCACTTTATGTAGCGATACATGGGGCTGTATAGTTCTAAATAAAAATTTAGATAATAAAGTAAGTATTGAAGAACGTGAACAAATAAAGGCAGCTTAAGTAATGAGACGTAATTTTTTTAGGATGTGACTGAACACAAAGCACTTGATCCAAATCAGTGCGTGGTAGATATTTTGTTAGAGTTGCTTGAAACTATTAAGCGCTTGTATCCAGATTGTGCAAGGATATTAAATAAAGATTTGGATGATTTATCAAAGGACACAAAAATCCAGCAGATTTTGGCTAAATCGTCCATACTAGAAACAATAGACTTGAGTGAATTATCAGTCGGCGAGCATACTTTAGCTTTCTTTATAAACCTATGGAACCTATTGTTTCTTCATACGCTACTGACTTTCTGGGTTGGCGATCCCCCATCAAACTCATTGCGACATTTCATTTCATTGTCATCGGTTAGTTATCACGTTGGAGATTTGGGACGCATTTCTTTGTCAACATTAAGGTCCAAACTTCTCGCTTGCATGGCGTGGGATTCTGAATTCTTCTCACGCACTGAAGATCTAAATGAAGAAGCTTGGCAGGATCTCGATCTTGTTCACGATCCTCGTGCCATTTTTGCCATGATAAATGAATTTCACGAAACTCCAGCTATTCATGTAAGGATTTTTATATATTTAATCTCGACATTGAATTATTAATGTTTTATTTTTGTTGCAGATTTACTATCCACAAAATTTAAATAAAGACTTGAATCAGAGACTGTGCGATTATTTAGACTGTTATTCTAAAAAAGAATCAGAACTTAGTGATATTAGTAATGAAAACTTAAAAGATGGAAGACGAATCGTACGTTTACCGGATCTCGTTGAACGTTACGAAAAGTTTGTAGAGAAAAATTTAACAAATTCAAATTACATTAATGTGAGTCATATGCATTCGCCTCAAACGAATTTTTCCCTGACTGACTATTTTGGCACATTGGAAAATTTCATTCGTAAATACGAGGTACATACAATTTCATTCGAAATATCCCTTAAGTTAGACGAACTGAAATCTGTAAAAAGTGAGTCGACGATGAAACGAAGTCTTAGCTCTAGCCATAATAATTCCACGGCCTGGATATCCAGATCGATCAAACCCAATGTATTGCATTACTTGGATGGCCATTGTTGGCTGCTATCGTATTTAGTTAAACGCGTTCATAAGGAAACGTCATCCATGCTAGAAAGTGGCTGTGACAATTTACAAAGAACTACCTGTCTCGAAAATATTGCCACTTCACCGTGGATTGCGACGTTGGCCAGGGCGCTGTTTGATGATAATCCAACACTAGCCAGTATACACGATAATCTATCACTGAATGATTTGTGGATGTACTTTGAAAAATGTTTGAACGATGATCGAATTCAAGACTGTCTAGATGTGATTAACGCATTGCCAAGCAAATTATTAAATAAATCGACGGAGATACAGTGCTTGAAAGATAAACTATTGTGCCAGATGATTGAGAAAATGGAAAAGAGTTCGGATGCTGATAAGATTTTACAATGTGTTTACCAAATCAAGGACATTAATGTGTTAACACAAACTATACTTTCCAACATAAACAAATGGCCTGTTCATTTATGTCAGAACGCTTTATTCCATGCATTGCATCATACAGACAGGCATAAACTTCCATCGCATTGTAAATTTAAAATGAACGAGACCCTTTGTAGAGTTACCGTTTTTTACAAAATGTTACCCTACTACAAGAACAAGGAATTAGATTCCAGAGAAGCTACTTGGTACGATGTACTTTACTGCACCGAAAAAACTGATCCAGTCTGCATTGTTCAATCATTAATTGAAGCCAATAAGTTTGAACTTTGTCTCGAGTGGTTGGAATATCAGGCATTCTCTTTGGAAATTCAATCGTTAGTTTCCCAAGATCTTTTTTTAGGATTATTAAAAACCGACGAGACTGACTTTAAAAATGCTCGTAAAGTAAGTACAAGAACATCATTTAAATTTTCGACATTTAAATTTAATTAATGTGTTTTATTTTTGCAGCTTTTAAAAGCACTTCCGGTGAAACAATCGGTAAAAATGTGCAAAAACGTTCTCAAACGATTAGAATCAATCACAGCAATGAGATTTGTCATTGAATACTTACTTGAACACTGTGAGCCAGAAAAAATGCTTTTATATTACAAAACACAAATCGGCGTAGAAATTCTCGATCAAATGGAACCTAAAGAAAGGATTCATTATATTCACTTGATAAAAGAGCCACTTTTGATGTTGGAGCAACTATTAATGAATTGCAAATTTGAAAATTTGCGGAAAATTTTTAACGTTGTTCAAAGATCGGATGATCTTAAAAAAGCTGATTTTTCTATAGAAAATTTTGATAAAATAGTTAGATTTTACGCAGGAAAATCTTTAGACTTTCGAGTATCGTTGCAACGCGATGGTGTGGATTCTAAAAATAAAGATTCAGCTTCTATAACGTCGTCGTTGGACATCGAAAGTCGAAATGGTGAATTTGTCATGCCAACGAACGTGCCAACCAAGGAAGAATGGATTCCCAACGACAAAGTAAGCAAATAACATTTCAAATAAAAAATCCTTTTTATCTTTCCGAGCTAATATCATTGATTTATTGTTTAGGCAAGAGAATGTAATTGTTGTAAAGCAGTCATATTCTCGATGTTTAACCGTCGGCATCATTGTCGTCGTTGTGGTCGCGTTGTTTGTGCAGCTTGTTCGCAACAACGAATGCAAGTTTCTGGCTACCCGAAATCTGTGCTGGTGCGAGTCTGCGACGATTGCAAGAGGCAAACAATTCTCCAACAGCAGGCAGCACAAGGAACATCATCAGGTGCAAGCAGTGTTGCCCTGGAATGTTGGAAGCTTACCACCGACGAGACGCATAATCAATCTGTTCGAGACGAATTTTCCTTCGAGTACGCTCCGAATATATCTCTGTGCCTTGCAATCCTCAGTCTGCATTCGGATCATAAAGCTTACGCGAGCTTTCTACTTGATCGATGCGACGAGATGAAAAGGCTCCTGCAGCCGATGAATGGCGGACGTGTCAATCCGGAGATTGATCATGCACTGATTATCAAAATGATTCGATCTTTACTGGTGGCAGTCAAAGTTAAGTGTGCCAAACTTGGTTTGAATGCCGGACTGGCACACTGCGATCGCTTTCTCTCGCAAGTCGATTTGATCTCGACGCTCGTTCAATCCGATTGTCTCGCACTTATACCCACGGACGATAGTTTGGACGAGCATGCACTTAGAAAATTACGAGATTTATTAACCGAAAAAGAACAGTGGACATTAGCTCTCGATGTTAGCACTAAATCGGGACTGGATACTCAAGGAGTCTGGGCTGCTTGGGGAAAAGCTTGCTTAAAGGTATTTTCTTATTTTTAGAAATTAATTTTTGCTTTTGATTACATATACACTAATACTTGTATATGAATTTGTAGGCTGGTTATTTTGATCGAGCAAGATCAAAATTTTCTCATTGTTTAGAGAAAGTTGTTTATGAAAATAATGATGATTGGGTATTTTTATCATATCCGGATGCAGAAAATGCTAGCAAAAGTAGCGAGGATTCACTAGACATGCCAAGGCAAAGAAAAACAAACGATGTTTCATCTAATCGTAAACGAAAAACAGCTAAATGCCGTCCCATGAAAGATCCACCTCTGCTTCTAGAAGTTTTGCAGATTTTGGAAAATCAAAGTCAACTGAATCCCGATAATTTACAAAATGCACAGTCAAAGCCCAATGTAGCTCAAGAAATTATCACAACTCTCAATAGTTTGAAAGCGGTGAGCCAGGGTCAGTGCTCTTTCGTTCGCAATTGGAATACTCGCAATATTTATTATGAGGAAAGTCTCTACTACCTCGTCACTTATGGCAGCTATAATTCAATACTCGAGTTTTTCGTCAAACATGAAGAGTTTAACAAGTGCCTCGATTTCATAGTAGAAAATAAAGTCGATCCCGATCTTTTTTTTAACGCCGTGTACTTGCGCTGTTTAAGTTTGGGCTTTATTGATAAACTGCTCAATGCAATGCGAATCGATGATGTCAGCCTTTTGTCTTGGAAAAAGTATCTGGTTTACACTTGTCACAGTCTCAACAAAAAGCAATACCTTCACACTCTCTATCACTTGCAACTGTTTATGCGAGACTTTATTCGAGCAGCCATGACTTGCATTCGTTTTTACGAGCAGGACGCCAGAGATTATATCGATTTGTGTACCAAATCTCACTTTCTCATCGATGCACAGAGACATTTGGAAACTGAATTGAACGTGGACAATTTGAGTAAAAAGCGAAGAAAAAGCATTAGCTCGTCTCACAATGGTTCACATGGTGGTCTAACCATGGAAATGGAACCATCAGAGATTGACAAACACATGAATACGATATCCAGGCAATTGGAAATTGCCAAATTTTTGAGCAAAGTCGAAGAAGAAGGTAGACCAGTTGGTCCGTATTTAAAACATCTCCTGGATATGGATACTGAAAATACACATTCCAATGAACTGCCAACTCTATTTGGGAATCAACAACAGAAGACTAAACTCGCCGTACTAGCTATATTATGTGGACGGAATATAGAAGAAGGTTTCGGAATAGCCTTTAGGATATTACAAGGTATTTTCTAAAATCTTCGTAAACTGTTTATAAGTTTTAATTCTGTTTTCTTAATTGGTCTATTAATGGCACTTTGCAGATTACAATTTGCGCCCGCAAAAAGTATATTCTCTAGCTGGCCACGTTCTAGCATTAGAAAAGAAAATCGATTCTATAGAACAATTGATCAAATGTTGTCGGAGCTCAGGTGCACCAGACTCGCAAGCTATATCCGATCGTGTTTTAACGCACTGCGTGAAGCTTCTACTGCACAATCCTCAAATGGAGTCGAATTCTGATTTTAAAGATAGAGTGGATTCTCTGATAAGGCTGATAAACGATGTTGAATTAAAGGTGACCCTTTGAAAATTATATTTTGGTTGCTACCCAATCAATAACTAATGAAGAAAATATTTTTTTCACAGATAAGCTCGTACATCGAAAGTAAGCAACTGAAGGCGGCTTATCTGCTTGCAGTCAAGCACCAACAAGCTCAAGACATTAGAAAAATTTTAAAAGAAGCTGATAGACTCGGTCAAAATGCCATTAGATCCATTTGTACTAAATGGTTGAAGCAAACACAGAATCCATTGTAGATATATAAAGAATTAGCGAGCGACTGCGGGAAAGGGGAAAGATGCGAAATAATAATAATCAAGATTTTAGGCTTACAAAGCTTTTATTGTACTCAAACGTAATTGGGCACGCCACTCTCACACGTTAAATGATATTTATATTTTATTTATTCAAGCAATACGCGCGAATATAGTAATTAAAAAGTTCCCATTGATATTTTATCGCTCGGATTTAATATATTATTGCGATATCGTGGTGTAAATTAATAACAATTAAAACGACAATATTTATACTACAATGAAATAACAATTAATCGAGCGTAATGAGACTGCCAAACCATATACTCTAAATTAAATGGTGTTGGCACTGGCATATAATAACCAAATTTTAGTACGGGTCTGTGATATGAATTATATGAAATAAATCATGTTATCAATCGATTATTTCAACTTGTAATGTTTTTGCGAGGCAACATTTTTACTGTATTTGTGCGTAAAATCATTTATTTTATAAAAAATTTATACACTGGTTGAAAGTTTATCAATGATGATGTTAATAATAATTGTATGTACGCCAACAACAGAATCATTTAAATTTTAATTTTACATAAATTTTATTTTGTAAAAATACTGCTGTATTTTAGATAATGTATATTAAAAAACAAAGAAAGCATCACAAAAAATAATTTTCCTGTAATTCTTAAACAGTGAATTTTCTACCAGTGTATGAATTGAAATGAATTATTATAAATGAAAGTATATAGAATAAAGTAATAAATAATAATACATAATCATGGTGTTTTAAAGTACTGTCCTAATGGAATGTTTGATGAATATAACATAAGCCGGTGACAGACTAGATAAAAATACCAATTATAGACTATCTCTCATTACCTTGTGGAATGTACTTGAATCACAAAAATAGCAGTTCTTTGTCTCTCATTCTTTCTTTCCTTTTTTTTAAATCGAACAAATCTTACGCCTCAAGTTTTAATAAAAGTAAAAGGCATTCTTTTATGATTCTTCTGCTTTATCTTTGTTAATGTCTTGTAAAATCTGTTCTTCACCATTGCCATCATGACCTTGTAACCTTTGTTCATATTTTTCTGCAAATTTTGGATCCATATGTTTGATTGATATAACTAACATTTCTTTTTCTTGATCAGACCAATTCTGACTCCACTCTCTGAAAAGCTTTATTCTACATTGGAATAGACTGGGTGGTCTGTTTGGATTTTCTTTTCCCAAATTTTCAATGCCTGTGAGCAAGCCATTAACTAATATTGTTGAACTACATCTTTCTAATAATATTCCTACAAAGTCATCTCTCTGCATTTCTGACCATTCTTGAAACCACTCAATAACATATCTAATTTGCGCTTGATTTGATAGTGCTGTGGACATTTTTCATCTAAAAACAACAATGTTTAAGAAAAATGTGTGAATTACGCGTTAAATTTCGAAGTTTCTGGCTTAATTTAATCAATTAAAGTACCGCTTGACTAAGGTTAGAAATACGGTAATAGAATTCCACGTCTACAACAGTACAAATAACTATCAAAAAATTACGAACAATATATTTTTAACAAAACAGATATAATAATTTGATTACCAATAACTACAATGATGAATTCGCGTACGTACTATTTTCAGTTTTATCAGTTTTTGTTTACATTTACGTATATGTAGCGGCTTACACGGCCTTCCAATCTTCAGTAGTTGCACATCACATACCTGATAACTGCCGAGGCTTCTCACTTTTATACGGCTTTTAACAACCAAACTATATATATATATATATTGACAGCTCTACTAGAAGATAAGAAAAAATAAACTCATACAGTTATATTTAAGAGCATCGTTTATTTGTAGAATAAAAAATTACAAAAAATACAGACATTTTACAAATATTTGAATTTTTTATTTGTATTTGCATTTCTTTGTTTTTAATGTTTCATCTTCATCTTCGGAATCATCGCCTTCCTCGGAATCTTGATCAGCTAAAATTTCATCTAGAATTCGATTTTTAATTTATTATCAATAATAATATAAATATATGAATATATGAATTTTATGTTACAAATTATATATTATAGTCATATTGATGACTTACCTTGAGTGGAACTAAGTTCTGTTTGAACAAGTTTCGTTAGTACTTCGTTAATTTTTTGTTGCATGGACTTTAAATGTGAGATTAAGGAATTTAAATCATTTCCCTCATTTTTCACAGAATGTTTATAAATTGATTCCGATTTATTATTAATTTCGACACTGATATTTGGAGTTTCAACCATTTTAGAACCGTTATGTTTTGAGTCTTGATTTGACAATCAATGAATAGAATTTTCTATGGCAAATGTTTTTCGTCTATTCAATGAAATACTTATATATTGCCTAAAGAGTATACCTATTATAAATACTTTTTTTTCCCGTATTAAGGTTTGTGTAGCACAGTGGCCGCACACTTGGCACATAGTGTACAGTGAATAAAATTTGTGGCCTATATTGATATATAGCATGCTATTGTTACAGTTCTAACCTTAAATGAAACCAAGTTCTTGTATAGAGTTTGTTAAATTTTGACGCCAGTTCGACGACGTCAACACCATATGCTAAGATTTCGGCATGGTTTTACTAGAAAATGATGTGGTAAGATGTTTAAAAAAAGGAAAAACTGTTATTTTATTGATAAACTACTGATTTCGAACCTATTTTTCATAGTTTTTAATTGAGCTTAACAAGTTCTTTGAAAAATCAAGACAGACTGGCTCTGTGTCTCTCACAATAAAGAGATGTAAGTATTACAAATTTCGTATTTATCAATTATGTTCCTATTTTGTAAATTTTTTCTTATGTTTAAAAATATTTTTAGACAATGGACATAACAGACCAAAGCCTAGAGAAGGTAGACCAGCTTTGCCACCACCAGCTGAGTACCTCTGTTTAGTCCGAGCTAATTACAAATCAAAGAAACTTTCCACTGTTGTAAGTTAATAGTTTGATCTAATAGTATGTATAACATGAAATAAATAATTTTATTTTGATATTTTCATCAAATTTATTGTTAATTTTTTTTTAGCTGTAACAAAAATTTTTTTTTTGATTGACAGTGAGCCAATATATTTTAATTACAGATTCACTCTAAGGATGTAAATAAATTCCAATTAGCATACTGGAACTTGCTGAAAACAAATATAAATGGACTCAAGAAATTAAAAAAAATCAAAACAGTAAAACCTAAGGCTCATTGATAGTTCAAGTAACCATTATTATTTTTATAATTATTTGTGATTTTGTACTATAAATAACAATAGATCATTTATTATGCATCTTGTGATTGTCCAGTTGAGTGGGTAGTTCTGATAAAAAATATTATGAGAAGACAATTTAGATGCAAATTTTGGCTTTATTACAAATATTTTTCATATTTATTATTTATTTTTTCTTGAATTCCATAACGTCGAAATATGGGCATAACAATATCCATGGTAAACTCATATTATCGGCTGTTACCAAACACTGATTGACACATTTTAAAAGAAGATTATCCTATATAAATGTAAAATTCATTAAACTATATAACAGAAAGTTTTAATAACAATAAAAATTTATATACCTTGAAGCAGTAATCACAAGTGAATAAACAATCATCAACTTTATCCAAAGGTCTTCCAGTTACCCACATATTGATTAGAATTAGAAAAATACTAATAATAAGTTGAAATTCTAAAAATATAATTATAAACATTGCTTTAAAAGGTTGGAATATTGAAAAAAATATTCATGTTTAATATATAACAATAAAAATCTTACTCATTTAAAAATCACTATAAGTGTAGAAATATAGATGGATAACTTTGGACTTGAATAAAATAAGTTGGTGTTCTTAGTGAGAATTATATACCAGCCCATATCTGTAATAATCCTTAATCAAGTTTAATATCAGTTTTTAGGAACTACATAGAAAGTTGATAAGACTTTGTATGCAATAATCTGATGCCACTATTGCTTGGCAAACATGAAAGTTAATATCATATATCCCATTCATAAACAAAGTATATGAGTCGTTCAAAAAAAATTATTGTCTTGTTCTGATCATGTACATACATGTATACTATCTCATGATCCTAACTTTCAATTATAAGTTGTAATAATAAAATAAGAAATTATATAGTTACTAAAAATATCTATATCAATCCTGTAAAATTTGATATATTAAAAGATGTTTTAATGAAAAATTAATTCATTATTATTGAATTAAGCAATTTGAAACTTGTGGAAAAATGATTGGTAAGGCATGAAAACCTATATACATTTATGTTTGAACATACAAATTGTGAACAAATGGCAAGTATTTTTTATCAGGTAAACCCTGACACAAAAATAATTGATTTTCATAAAAAGCGATATGTAATTAGCTTTGATTTAATTTGTACCATCTAAAAATAACAATTTTACAATACTAGTGTTATTTAGCGCCCTTCGCGCGCTTTTTTTTTTTGTTTTACTATTATTTATTACATTATTTGAACCTTTTACATGTCAACTTCAAGATTTCAATGGACACGAATAAGTCATGCTGTTTAAAATAGATTACATACATCAATATTTAATGATGAATAAAAATAGAACATGCACCCATTTTTTCTCAAAAATCTATGAACTTTTACTCATTTCAAGATGTATCGGAAAAATTATTCAAAAGATTAATTCGACCTAAGATCAATAATGCTATTATACTATTATATTATTATACAACACTAAACTTACATATTCAATAGTAGTGATTACGGCTCCAATCTTATATTAGTATGAGTAATACATTTAACATCGTGTACTTTTTGCTGCCACTATGAAAACACCCGTGAATATTCTTCTAATTTAACGGGTTTAATATTTTGATAATTAATTTCTTTTGTTCGCATACGTTTTAATTTAAAATATACAAAAGATAAATATGTAGTCTCTATTTTATTTTTATTCATTTTCTTTTTCTTTCTACCAAATTTTAATACAACGATATTGATTGTAGTATCGGAGATGGTTATAAAATTAACAATTTGTACAAATAATTTCAAAACATAATAACGTATTATGTTCTTAAACCAATTTACTAACATATTTCCATTCTTGCAGTTTATTATCCATGTTAATTATTCATAAATTGAATTTATCGCTAAAATAGAAATCTTACACTCTTTGATATATAATAATAATATTTCAAAGTATAGGAAAATTCAAAATTTCGCGTTCTATTTTTGCATCAACAAATCACAACGTTGGATGTCAGCGACTCTTTTTTTTTTAAAGATAAGATAGGAATAAAATATGTAAAAAGTATAAAAATAAAAAATAAAAATAAATATAAGGCAAGGATAAGGATAGGATAGAACCATCAGCTGCGCCTAACAATTTAATTTTGTTTCTTTTTTAACGTATTGGTTCTTGGTATCAAGCTTTCCATAGGATTTCTCCATATCAACAGATGTATTATTTTAATTTAACTGTTTTTTTCCATTGTTCATCTGAAACCATTTGGAGAGTTTGTTTACATTTATAAATTAAATTTCAAAATTTATTTAAAATAAATTAACGGTGTCGACTGCACCGAAATAAATTCGCAGAATTTCATATAAAATATCAATTTACCGTTCTTCTCTTTTTAATTGGTACAAATTAAAAAGAATCTATTAGCAGTTTTTTGTTTTGAAAAATCTAACATTTTTGTACAAGGAGTATATATTTTCCGAGATCTCGTTCTTTTAGCTTTTTTCAATTATCTAAGAAATAGAAATTGTAAAATTGTTATTTTTAGATGGTACAAATTAAAACGAAACTAATTATGAACTTTTTATGAAAATCAATTATTTTACTGTCAGGGTCTACCCGAGGTATTTTTTAACATAACCTAGATCAGTTCAGCTGACTTAATCAGCTATGTTTGTTATTCATGTCTTTATTTTATTGAGAATTATTAATGAACAAAAATTTTAACACAAGAGAATGTCTACAAATAGGATGAAAATTTTACTATGTACAGGCGTATCTAGCGATACAGATAATGAAAATCAATATAAAAAGTGTTTATTGGAAAATAATTATGAATGTGATATCCTCCAAGTACTTCACTATGAATTTATTAATTTGAATGAACTCCGAAAACATCTGGTTGACTCTAATTCTTATAGCGGTAAAAATTGCAAAATTTCTGTATTTCTATTTTGCAATAAACATTTTTATTTTTCACTTATTTTATTATATTTTTAAGGTTTGATATTAAGTAGTCCTCGAGCAGCTACAGCAATAACTAGAGCTAGAATGCAAAATCCATTTCCTATAAATGATTGGATAAAGAGACCAACATTTTGTGTTGGTAAAGCTACAGAATTTGTAGCAAAAGAACAAATAGGTTTAACTAATATATTAGGCTCTCATTCTGGAAATGCAAAAAATCTAGCCACATTTATTATTGATTTAATGCAAACAAATTATAGAAAGCCTTTACTACATCCTTGTAGTGATATTGCAAGAGATACAATTCCAAATATGCTGTCAGAAAAAGGAATGTGTGTAACAAAAGTAATAGTTTATAAAACAAAAGCTCATGAGTGTCTGAAAGAAACTCTAATTACTGCCTTAAATCAGTCACCTCATATATTAGTTATTTTTAGTCCTTCAATAATCGATAACATGGTTGCTGCACTAAATAATGATAAAAGTGTATTTGAAAAATTGAAAATTATAGCTATTGGGCCTGTAACAGAGCAAGCTGTGCTGCAGCATGGAATAAATATAGCTGGTGTAGCAGAAAAACCAGATCCTAAGGCTGTAAAAGAAATTATTCATAGAATTAATCTATGTTAAATTATATTTTTATATTTTTTAAGCAAGAAGATAAGGAAAAAAATTGTTATTTGGTTGTTACAAAAAATTTATTTGTGTAAATTCTGTATACATAAGTTGATTGGTTATCGTCTTCAAATTGTAATTTAATTACGTCAAATCAAATTAATATGTATATAGTTGTTATCAACATTGTAAACTTTTAAAAAATTATATAGTTTATAAATATTTTTTATAAAAACAATTGATGTTTTTTTAAATACTCAAAGCATTTCTACAAATACCGTAAATTAACGATATTAAAAACAAACACATTTATTCAAACATTATAACTTAACAATATTAAACTAATTACTAAAAGTCTTTTGTTAAGTGAAAAACATTCCTAACAAATAATCTGCATGAAAGTTAAATTTGTAGATGCGATATTATACATTATAATGAAACATCTTTATTTAAACCTATTTAATATCTGTTGGGATTATGGACATTGCCTATCAAACATAAATCAGCTCCAACAATTGTAGACTGATTAGCATAATAAGGCTGTGAGTTATTTCCACCATTATTACATATCATTTGTACAGCAGTCTCGTAATCCGGTGCTGGTCGATAAGAAGGCAATAAGGCACGTAAATTGTTAATATCTGTTGTTGACACTGAAACGACTGGACAAGGAGAAGTTGAAAGATCATTATAACTTGTCCAGCGAGTGTAATCTTCCGTTCCAGTAGTGTCCAAATTAACAGACGGAGTTTGCTCGCTGGAGTCATTGGTTTCATTATCCTGAGAACAGAAATAACATAGGAATAACAATATTTATAAACCATATAGTAGAAATTTATGCAAATTCGAAATTACTCGGATATTCTTATTAAAAAATACTTACAAAATAAGTATTAGCCATTCGATCCGGTGGCTGTGGTATTTGTTGATGTTGCATGTAAAATGTATGTTGAGCTATGCAAAGTCGCCACATATATTTCGCACTACGTGATTCTCGGAAAGTAAACTGTTTAGCAAATTGTATTTCTGTTTGACATTCTATTCTGAAGGTTTTTTTATGATTTATTACATTACTTATATCTTTCCATCTATTGAAATGAATTGCATGAGAATTATAATTTTTATTTACATGCTGATGTAATTCAATTATATTTACCTGTAGAAATGTGTTGATTGCAAACTAGGATAGCACACCATTATGCCATTTATTGAAATGCCAAGAACAATTTCTGTATTACTTTCATCCTATATTAAAAAGTTGTTAAGATTAAAAAGAATTTTTTATATGTAAAAGATATAATTTAAAGCAAGATAAAACCATCTATCTACCTTTGCCGTAAATGTTTCATGTCCATATCCTTCCAATTGCATTACCATTGTAATGTAGTACTCTTCAGCATTTGCCTGTGTTATGCCTGATAACATTTTATATTGGCAAAGTGAACTATTCAAAAGGGTTTCTTGCCCACCAGATTCAGCGTCTATTACTGACTGTACATACAACAAAAAATTTAACATGAATTTGTTAATCTATCATTGCTTAAGTAGTTTTTCCTACCTTTGGGAAAAATGTATACTGTTGAAGAAATTCTGGTCTGTGCCTCTCAGCATCATAGTTTCCAAATTCTGCTTGCATTGAATAACTTGCCAATAATGTGCCTTGTTGAGGATGGCAATTTATTCTATCTTCTAAAATATCACTTTTCAATTGCAGGTAGTAGTGGTACCTGAGAAAAGAATAATTATATTCATCTCTTATGCTGTATATAACTTGATACAAAATAATTTAATACCTTGTAATTTCATCTTGAATATACTGAATGTCTGTGATATAAAACATTACTCTTAAATATAGATTGAAACTCTTAGCATCTTTTTCTAGTTGTCTTTTTAATGGTTTATCCATATCCACCCATTTTGGTGCTGGAGTTCCATGTCTGCATACATAACATAGACCAAAAAATTCTGGCTGGCCTAAGCCTAGTCTTTGTGTTACACTGGTCAGACATTCTTGACCAAGACTGTCGATACTCAGAGTACATTCTATAGACGTTGAGTCTAGAAGTTCAACGCATATTACATACTGGTTTTTAGAAACAACGTTGTACTGACGACTTTTTTTCAAGTGGAATTTAAAAGGCATTCTACAGAAATAATAAGAAACATCTTGTTACTGTAGTAAAAATAGAAAATTAATAAAATTCCTGTATTTGACACTTACCTATTGACAATAAAGAGTTTTTATTAAAAACAATACTTTCTGCTTATTCATTATTTTAAGAGCATGCTATTTCTCATTAATTTACATAATTTTCCACGATTTTATTTTAAAAATAACTATACTGACTATCTCATTGACAAGATCAAATATAACCTCATAAATTCCATAAACACAAATCACAAACTCACAAGCAGCGTTGTCAGCTCTATTTTGTAAATAATTTCCTCAACTATTTAAAAAAATACTTATAATTCAAAATGTCAATACTATTTTTGAAAGAAATGTCTTTAGAAATAAAAAAATATTAAAGCTTTTAAAATGATACTTTACACAGAAAAGTGTTAACTTATTTTGTTGAATTTAAATGTCATTTATTATCAAAACATGGCAAACTGGCAACGTTGTTTTGACAGAACGGTGAGCCGTGTGGTGTCGTTGCGATCAAAAACTTTCTGATTCCTAGCTTTTTAATCTTGGAAGTTTTAGATTAAATAATCAGTTAGTAATTTACAAGCCTTGCTGACAGAATAATTAATTTATAAATTAACAGAAATTAGATAAATTGTCAAAAAATGCTGGAAAAAATCGCTAGCTTGACAACCTTGCGTAATTTGACGGGACTGACAAGTGAGTATTTATTTTTTAGGTTGTTTTTCTCATTACATAAGTAATATTTATAATGTTATTGTCACATCGAAAATTCATGATTTTAAATAAAACCCAATCTTTTTACAGGAACATTGGTGAAGCAAGGAAATATCAATGCTTTAAGATGTTACTCAACTAAACTTGCACCAGCATCTCCAAAACAATTCAGCTGTTTAACTAAGCCAATCACTTTTAAAAATGTAATCTGTCCATCATCAGCACAGGTTAATACGTGATTGTAATCAAACGTCTTTTACTTTAATTTAATTAATGAAGATTTGTCTGTGAATAGCTAAAAAAAGCTATTGGAAATAGCCTAATTCAGGCCCGGTCTCAAAGTACACATGGAAGTCATGTTAATCTGTGGAAACTGGAAAGACTAGTGGCTGCAATGTTTGTGCCACTGGTACCCCTCTGTCTAATGCTGGAAAATCCTGTGCTAGACAGCTTGTTAGCTGTATTGTCTGTGATACATGTTCACTGGTAAATATCATTGTTATGACTTCATGTTATAATATATTATGTATCTACATATTAGTGACTAGTATATTATAATGCTTTTTTCAGGGGATTGGAGGCTATTATTATTGATTATGCAAGACCAATAGTAGTTGGACATATATTTCCTAAAATTTGCTTTGTTGCGTTATACCTTGTATCAGCTCTAACTCTGGCTGGTCTTCTTGTACTTGTATACAATGGACCTGGCATTAGCAAGGTACTCAAGCAGGGATGGACTATTGGAAAAGATAAATAAATCTTTTTTCACTTAAGGTACAAGTCACAATATTTAAAAATTTTTTTCGTAAGTTCAATGTAAATTAGGAAATAAAATATTATTACCAAATAGCACTTGTGTTTGAAAAATAATTGAGACATAGCTTGGCTATTAAAATTTCAAAATGTATTTTTATTATAACAGTAAAAATATAACTTGTTTTTTATTTGTACAGATACTTGGTTACAAATAACCCTGTTCAGTAAATCTATTTTTCTTGAAAATATATACAAAATAGAAATTTGCGTTAAAATTATAAAATCATTCAACTATCTTTTTTTTTGTTTTATTTATTTTAAGGCACTTGATTAAAAATTGCTAAGCTCATTACAGTAACGAACGTGCATTCTCATCCGATAATCTACCCAACAACGAAATTATTAAAATTTTAAAGTTTCATATCCCAACCGGAAATAAACCTACAAAGGTCAAAAGGTCTTATTTCAAAAATCATTCCAAGTCCATTTAAATGGTATATTCCAAAATTATGCTAAGATATTTTCTTTATTTATAGCAAGGCCAAATCAAAACAAAATTTATAAATATTTTTTCTCATCTTAAAATACTTCTCGCGATTTAAACAACAACGTAATAAAAACAGAAACAGTATTTTGTAATTTTGTGTCTATACTATCCAAAGCACTTATTCACAAATATTTTAGAATCAAATTTAGCAATATATGAGCATTATTCTCAAGAAACTAATGATAGAAAAAAGCTTATTTGAAAAAATATACTCTATTTTATAATTAGAATACGTAGAACAAATTTCAGAATTATTTGAAACCATGTTTTCTATCATAATATCACAAAGCTTTTTTTCTTAATATCTACTTTTTTAAAAGACTGATGACAAGATTGGTAAATACTTGGAGCTATTCTTTTTATTATCAAAAAAATGTAATTATATGCATGAAATTATATTTTCGATCGTCAATAAATTTTAATAAATGAAACAATTACTGAGAATCACCGACAATACAATTAGATTCAATTAAACTAAGAACTATTGCAGATGAGAAAAAATTTCATAATTTTTGTTTTGATTTAGGCTTTGCTATATACAAGGGGAATATCTGAGTAAATTTAAAAATACATCATTTGAAGGGGTTTGGAAATACTTAAAGTGAGTTCCCACTGAATTATGTCGATTTCTTTCCAGCTAGAATATAAATATTTAAAATTTTAGTAATTTCGTTGTTAGATGGGCAAAGATTATTGGGCGAAAGTGTATGTTTGTACAGTTTTTGTAAGATTTTAAGTAAATTAAAAATAATAAAAATAAAGGTCTTTAGCTTCTAGCAATTATTTTGCCTTATTAAATTACGTTTAATCCATATACACTTTACCCTTCTATTTCCCCTGTTCCTTTTTTGGATGATTTAAGAACGTGCATAATTACTTCGTCCACAGTTTGCGCAGTTAGTAACGATTTAACACTTTCATCTTCAATTACAGCATTGAATAAAAGTTTGACGTTTCCTCTCAATCTTTCGGGTAATGTTAAGTCACTGTCAGCTGTGAGTGGTTCATGTCCACATCTTCTAATAACAGCTTCCAAAACTTCTTGCAAAGGTGATTGGCACCATCCAAATAACTAAAACAAAGTAATAAAAGAATGATGAAATTTAAAAATTTTAGAATTATTTTATCAATAAATAAACATAATAACTCGATATTAACTCGACTTACGTCTAATGTTTCTTTTTCAATTAATATTGTCAAAAGTTCTGTAATAGCCTTCATCAATTCGTCTGTAGAAAGAATATTAGTTTCTCCTATTTTTGACTTTTCAGCAGCTTCATAAGCAATATTAAACATTTGTAATTGTAAATGCTTCTTCTCTGCTTCACCGAGTACATCTTCTAAGAGATCTCTATGTTTTGCACGGATGTGACGCATGAGACAATCTTGTCGAATAAATGCTCTACCACATTCAGCACATGACTGTGGCGGCTCACGCCTGTGGGTATTCAAATGAGCTTGTAAAGATGACTTAGCCGCGAAACATTTACCACAAGTATCGCATTTATGAGCTGAAAAATTACATTTTTATTGTAATAAAATATCGATATTAGATAAAAAATGTGAACAAAACTTGTTTAAATCTTACGTTTAATACCGGCATGAAGATTCATGTGTTTGGATAAATCTTCTTTTCGTGTGAACGATTTTTCACATTTGTCACATTTGAAAGGCGTAGCTCCTTCGTGAACAAACTTCTTGTGATTAGTTAGACGGGCTTTTCGGTTAAAAGCCTTACCACAAATATCACAATAAAAGCCGTTTTCTCCAGTATGATGGAAAATGTGTGCTCTAAGCTGAGCTGCTTGAATGAAGGATTTGTTACAGTACTGACAAACATGAGGTTTTTCTCCAGTATGAGTTCTTTGATGACGATTTAATGTTTCTCTTGCAGCAAATTTTTTTTGGCACTGTAATAAAAAATCACGTTAATAAGTGACTTATTTTAAAAAAAATTGTATAATTAAAAAAATAAAAGTCTATTCAATTAATCTTATTCTAACGTAATGGTGAATTAAAAATAATATACAGATATATACATCTATACAGACAATAACATTGAACATTGCAAGGCTATAATCACTTACAACTTCTTTTTTATCTTCAAATCCTTAATGATTGCTTGGAAGTAAATTAGCAAGTTCGTTTTTTCATCAATTTTGAAGTTTTAGCTTAGTAAATAGTGTTGAAAGTTTAATAATATAATCAACTTACATATTTGCATTCAAAAGGCTTTTCTCCAGTATGAACTCTTCTGTGTTTTTTCATGGCTAAAGTTGACAAGAAGGTCTTAGTACATAAATCACATTCTATAGGTCTCTCTCCAGTGTGCATTCGTTGATGTATAATCAATTGCTGATTAGTATAAAATTGTTTAGGGCAAAGATTACAGGATTTCTTCTTTCTTTGAGGCATTCCGGCGTGGGTTCTCAAGTGCTCCCTTAAATTATCTTTCCGTGTGAATATTTTATTGCAAACCTATAAATATTTTTAATGGATTATTAAATTTTTATGTAAAAAATATGTAAAATATTGATTATTATATTATAATTCACCTGGCATGAAAAAGTATTGGCAGTATCTCCGTGACATCCCGACTGCTGCTTGTGGCGATTCAAATGATAGCTCCTCGAAAAATAAGTATCACATTTATCACATTTGTATACTTTCTTTGTTTTCATATGTGTAGTATAGCGATGTTTGTCCAAAGCCTTTTTATTTCGAAAAGTAGCATTACAATCTTCACATACGCATGAATCAACTTCCCAATGAATAACTATTGAATGTCTCTCTAGGGAAGCTGTTTTTTTAAATGATAAATCACAGTGTGGACATTTAAAAGGACCGCCAGAATGAGCAGTCTTGACATCTTCTGCACAACAGTGGCATTGGTCTTCTGATACTGGTTTGATTGCTGGTTTTTGATTATTATTTTTCATATTTTGAGAATCTATAAAAATATTCAATTGGATATAATTGCAAATGACAAAATTTTTAATTTAAATAAGTTTGATAATAACCTGATGGATTAGAATTTTCAGTATTATAGTCTGGATCATCTACTTTGTATTCATTTTCTTCCTCCTCTTCTTCCTCTTCGGAATCCATGTCACCCATCCTGCCTAATTCTAGAAACTCAGCATCATCATCTTCCTCTCTGCATACTTGTAAGTGTTCTTTCAACATCTGTAAAAAAATATTTAATTCAGTAATTTAACAAATTTTGCTTAGATTCTTTTTATTAAAGAGTAAATATAAGTAAAAAATTACATACATCTTCACTTGGGAACATACGTCGACAAGTAACACACTCAAATTCTCCAATAATCTGAATAATTTGACCATTTTGTGTAAGAACTACGTAAAATATAAGATTATTATAAAAATAATTCTTTTTTATATTTATGATAGTCATAATGAAAGCTATTATTTACCTTCTGAGTCTATCATGTCAGGTATTATAAGAGTACCTTGATCTGAGTTTTTAACCAACAAGTCAGCTGTGGGTGTCATTATTATTAGTATACGTTTTTTTAACGATAAGAACTGTAGAATATAACAATAAAATTAACATACCAACTACTTCACTCATCTCATCATGTGGTAAGTAAGTATTCTCTACTTTTAAAATTTCTAGAAAAAAGATAATGGCAACTGTTAGAACGTACTAAACAGATATGGAGTTTCCCCAAACACAAACGCAACAGGTAGCGAGTCGTTACGAAAACACAAAAACAATGACGTGCTCATGATAGCTTACCTATAACTTCCCCCATGATTGTTTGATTTAGTCTCGATTAAACTGTACAAAAAATCACAATTTATAGTTGCACACCAGCTAACAATCTGTTGACGATGAATCAAAGGCGTTAAGGTACATGAAGCATGAATGCGTGTCAACAGCCCAACGCTGCTTGGCTCTGTTGCAGACCAAATCGTGTCTCATGATCACCTTCCTTTTTTCTCCATACTCACTATTTTTGGTCGCCGATTACAATCACTACGTGTAGATGGAAGAGGCAATAAGACCCAATAACCCAATCGAACTGTTTTCACCACAATTTGCTATTTACACGGTAGTTTTTTACGAGCCCCTAGCGACACGTTCACCACCCGAACACAACGCCTTACAAAATGGCCTAAGCGAAGGGGCACGCCTTTTTCATTCCCCCTCCCTTTTAGCCATCTCTTTTCCGTCTGCTCGCGGACTCTGCATTCTGCTTTTAATTTCGGACAGCTAGAAATTTTGTTCTATTTTACTCTCAAATCAATTCTTATATACGACATATGAATCTTTCTTACGAGGCGTCAATATGTGTTCTGAGCTTCCAGTTCAGTTAAATTAAATTAAATAGTTTATTTTACACTGTAATTGTCCAAATCTCCAAAGAAGTTGTACAAGCGTACACGTATACACAAGCATTATTAATGAAATTGCGACGTTGTCAAGTCTTTCATTGGTCAAAGATTTTCAAGTTTTCAGCTAGAGTGCGGGCGTTTCACTTCCTCTCAGCGCTAATCAAGCCATTAAAATTGTACAGCATATAGTAGGCATTTTTTTTAAATCAATTTTTTTCCCTCACAATAGAATGAATTAATGATTTATATGCAATTTTTCGACAAAATAGTTTTTTGTTTATTGACCATTTTTAATTGACCATTTGACCATTTTTAGACAATTTTACTAATTTTACTAGTCATACTTATCTCGAGTAAAATTGAGGATACGAGAGAAATAATTACTGAATAAGTAGAAAAGTAAAATCTTCAAAAAAGAATTGAAATAAAATTCTGACATCTGCGCGTAATTATTGTCTGTAAGGCCCTCGCCAAATATGTGCATATGCGCGCGTACGAGGGCGTACAAACGCGTACAAATCGCTAAAAATTTTGATAGTGCCAACAACAGAAAGTTACTACTATTCCTTGCATGCCCCAAACGAACACACTTACTCCCGGAACAAACATATCATAACGCTATATTATTGATGGTTATGATACGTTTGTTCCGGGAGTAAGTGTGTTCGTTTGGGGCATGCAAGGAATAGTAGTAACTTTCTGTTGTTGGCACTATCAAAATTTTTAGCGATTTGTACGCGTTTGTACATACGCCCTCGTACGCGCGCGTATGCGCATATGTGGCGAGGGCCTAATGCGAATGTGGATTGTGGATGGTCCGCGAGCTACAGACGCGGAGCTAAGAGTATGTAGATGATTATAGCTAGATGTCGCCAATCGCACATATACATCATCGACAACCACACATCCTCATATTTGTCTTATCACGTTAATGCAGTGATGTGCATGCGTCTACTGCTGTACGGCATTCTCCCATACATAATCAGTTGTTAAACACCCGTAGCTATCTATGCGCAATATCACTCGTTGTGATAAGATTCTTTATACGCCCAACTAGTTAAAATGCTCTGTAATTAGCTGCAGGTGTTATTGGTGATGATGATTATTCATAAGAATTATAGACGAAAATAAACAACAGCCTTTTCAACGCGTATCTTCAAGTCGTGAGTGAGGTTACTGCAAAAGATCAATCATGGCTCAATGCAAGTTAACCCCACGGGAATTTATCATCAATGCTTTTTCACCGCAAGTGGCGGCTGTTTGTACGCCCAATGCCGAGGCTACTTGTCAGAAGAATAATTTGACGTTCATTGAATTGCTGCAGCCTTTTTGTAGACTTAATGCAGAAGGTATTGTATATCTCGTTATTGTTACTTTTATATATACTTGTAGAATTATTCTGTTTCTCAATTTCTTCATATTCAATAAATAATCTTCCACTAAATATTAATTCAAGTCAAATGTAATATAGTTCTAAATATCTCCATTTTAATTACAGGTTATATAAAAGATCCCCAAGGAACAACTGTAGCAATTCGATCACTGCAAATATCTATCAAGGATGTAAACTATTCTCCTCCAGAGCCAAATTTAGCTAGAAAATTATTCAATGAATCTGTTACCTCTATGTATAGTGAGCGTACCCATGTTGTTAGAACTGGAAGTATAGATTTAGATATACCAATATCTGTTCCTTGGTTTGAGGCTTGGAGGGACACTTTTCTAAATGTTCAATTTCCATCAGACCATGAGTTTACAAAACACTTTATTGCTTGCATGATAGTAGTCTCTACAGCAGATGAAAATCCACTTGAGAGAGTTCAGCAAATGGGTGCTCAACTAAATTTGAGTATGCCAGGAAAATTACCAAAATGGTTTAATAACAATTCTCTTAGGTATTATATTTTGATACATGATGCTCTTCAGGATGACAAGAAAAAGTAGGTTTTTTTTCACCATAGTCAAATATTTGTTAAAATTTGTATTTTATATAAAATTTTTATTTCAGAGCAGAAGATATTTTTGCTGAAATGAAAAATATATATGGATCCAATAATTGTTTTTTCTTACAAATAAATTCAAGGCCATTTTATATGTCAGAAAATAATACTCATTTACCAGATCCCTGGAGCCAATTTATCGTCAAACATCCTGATTTAACAGGTACTAGTGATCAGGATAATTCACCCCGTACTCCAGCAGATACTATGGGTGTTTCTTCTATGCCTAATGCTGTGACTACTGAACAAGAAAAGTATGTACTTTTAATTTATGTTTTACTATTAATTAATAAGATACAAATAATAACGTTGTTAATTATTAATGTTTTAGATCGACTAGTCAAGCTGGGACACCAGTTGCACCTAGAAATTTTCCATTGCTGACTCCAGACAAAAATGAAATCCTCAGTATCACTTCGGAATTGTCTAATTCCCAAATACAACTCGAGGTCGGTCAAGAAGCAGTGTCGGCTACAACAGCTACAACTTTTCATCCTTTAAGCCCAGAAAATGAATTGCCTACAAACTTCAATAACATGGACAATGTGAGTCAAAGTTTGAATGCCACCTCTCCAATAAATGTGAATGTTTGGGCTGACACTCCAACACATGTAGCTCCTCAACATGGTGCTAGACTTTCAACAGAAGATCTAGAAAGATTAAAGTTAATGATGTCTGAATTTTGCTTAAAAAGTTTGTTACCTTATGTTGAAAGACAAATACATTTATTGAATGATCTCATTTCTAATAAAAAGGGTGTAAGTAGATCGTTATTTAGTGCAACAAAACGCTGGTTTGGAACTAGCAAACCAGGAGTATCTGGATCTGTTCCAGCCAATGCTGTTATGTAAGACGTTTATTATTATGTCGTTTATTAAATATTTATAAAATTGTTTATTATAAACTAATAATGTATCATATTTTTAGATATACTTCAGAATCTCCAGAACTACAATTAAGAAGAATGGGTGATCTTTGTTTTATGTTTGGCCATTATTCACTGGCCTATCATGCATATCATAATGCAAAACGAGATTTTGCAGCTGATCAAGCTTGGATGTATTATGCAGGTGCTTTAGAAATGGCCGCCTTGAGTGCTTTTATGATGGACGAAATGATTAGAAAAACAATTGAATACATGGACGATGCTATAACAACTTATTTGAATACTTGTAAAATGCCATCATTCGCAACAAGAGCAACTCTTTTAAGCGCCGAGTGTTTGAAAAATCGAGGATTGTATGGAGAAGCAGCTAAGCAATTAATAAGAATGACAAGCGAAGATTCTGATTTACGTTCAGCATTATTATTAGAACAGGCTGCATATTGCTTTATTTCCCCAAAAATGGTGAGAAAATATGCGTTCCACGCGGTTCTAGCTGGTCATCGTTTTTCCAAAGCTGGACAAAAGAAACATTCCTTACGTTGCTATAAACAAGCATATCAGGTATTTAATACTTTTGTTAATAAAAATTATGGTAACATTAAATAGAAATCAAATTTTATTGCTTTTACGTAGGTATATCATGATAAAGGGTGGTCATTAGCAGAAGATCATATTCATTTTACAATTGGTAGGCAAGCTGCAGCTTTGAAACAAATACCAGAGGCTGTTAAATTCTTTGAAAAGTTATTAAGTGCGTCAAGTAAACAACCTGCTCTTCAACAAGCAGCATTTTTAAGAGAATTTTTATATATTCACAGTGTTAGTATTACCATTAATTATACATAAACCGTTGTTTGTTTTTCGCTAATTAATTATTATTAAACTATATTCTAGCTGCTGGCTCAAGAATCAAAAATGTCTGCGACATCTCTTCCTGCGTTACCTCTACCTTTAATTGAAGATAATCAGATTAAAGTACTATTAGGACCTGTAATCAAACCAGGCAATAATATTGAATTAGTAAGTCAAATATTGTCTTTTAGTCAAGACGCTGATGATGTCAGATGGTCGAAACTTGAAGAAATTCTGTTATCAAAAGCGCGAGGAACACCACCTATGATTTTTAAACCAACCGTAACGATTTATACTAATACTAGTGACAATTCTACAAGACCAAATGCAGTTATTAATGAACCAATCTATTTATGTGTAACACTATCCAATCCTCTATTGATACCACTACCGCTTTCTAATTTGAAGTTGCTTTGGTCATTTGAAGACGAAAAAAATATTATAAGCAATGAAATGTCTGAAGAGTGTGAAGAAAATTTGGTCGAAACATTAAAGATTGATAGTGTTACTCTCCAACCTGCGTCTAAGCAAACCGTCGTTTTAGCTCTTAAACCTAAAAGGATAGGACAATTGAAGGTTTTAGGTTTAGGATATGACCTTTCAAACCCAGTGCAAACACCAGAGCAATTGTCTACAAACCCTACAACTTTCGTTTCTGGCAAACGTATATTTCAAATTCAGGGTCCTAAATTGAAAAATGCTAAAGAAAAACCTGGAATTTCTCTATATGGTGCGGATTGGAGACTCGATATAAATATTGTCGATAGAGGACCATTTATGCAGGTAAATATTTTAAGAATCGCATTAATCAGTGCATTTTCATAAAGTTTAATTCATTGGTACTTTTTTATTTTTCAGATAACTATGACAGCGCTTTCACCAGAGATGCTCTGTGGTGAACTCCAATGTATGGAAGTAGTTTTGAAAAATATTGGTAACGCGCCTCTGAAAAATATTCATCTTGGTTCGACAAATCCAAAATTATTTGCGCTTGAAAATCAGGAACAGGACTTTCAAACAGGTAACGAATAAAATCATGATTTTTATAATGATAAATGTATCATTTATCGGGAAAGTGTTTCATATAATAATTTTAATTTTTCAGGGTACAAAAAGAAGAATGATGAACTTGTAACTAAAATCATACTACCTCCTGATAAAAATAACACATTAAACGTCGGTGACTATTTCAAAATGAATCTTTGGGTTTGTGCTCCACACGCAAAAGGAAATCATCGATTAGATTTGCTATTCTATTATGAAAATTCCGAACCAAAAAATATATTGAAGTATAGACTGAGTCGGCATAGTTGGCATTTGACAGTTTTAGGTTCTATAAATTGGAGTGCGATGGCTCGTAGAAGTGCAATAAGTGAAAACAACTTTTCATTGTTGAATTTATTTTTACAAGTTAAAAATTCAAATCAAGTTCACGATCCTTTTATGAATGAAATAGAGTTAGTAAATATAGCTTTCCAAAGTGATTCTTGGACACTAATGAGTAGAAATAATACTTATAATGACGTCAAAGTACAGCCTCAAGAAATGGTACATTTCTTGTTAAAACTTTCAAAGAGAAACCCAGATAGTCCCATATTTTCTAATGTTTGTTTATCTACAAACACACTAGACTCAGCAAGCAATATACCGTATCAGAATTTTATAAAAAAACGTCACATAACTCCTTTAGATGCTAATGATACTCAAAGTGATATTCAACAATCAAAACCGCAAGTTGACGATCCAATTGCTTTCACAATGAAGCTGGATTCGACAGTAATACTCAGGTGGAAAGCCAAAGTAACTGAAGGTGGTGCGGTTATTCGTAACGCAGTTGGACAACATTACATTGATTTAAATTATTTGAATAAATCGTACAACCATCCTCCAAAAAAAATAATTGAACCAATCGAGTACTCCGGGCAGCTTAAAATTTTTGGACCTGACATTAATATACCAGATGCTCAAGCTCTTAACAAAAAAGAGCAGTACTCAGAATTGGAATGTCAGAAAAATTTGATTTGGTTTTACTTGCAGCATTCCAAGGAAGTAATGCATAACTTTGCTCAAAGTCGTATATGTGCCGTACCTGTCATTATGATTATGCAAAATAATTCGCAATCTGATGTTGATGTTCGAGTAAATACCATTGGAACCAGCAGGTATGCACATATGTTATTGAATAGCTTTAAATTAAAAATGTAACTTCTATTTACAATATTTTATTAATTTGTAGTCAAAATACTTTGCCAAATATTAAAACCCATCTCCATTCATCGCAAGCTTTGACATCATTCCGTTATGCTGGTCAAACGTCATTTGTGCGTCGATTGGAACCGTGCAGCCGACAAGAAATTAAATTACAAGCCATTCTTTCTGCCCCAGGAAGCTATGATTTATCATCTAGAATAGAAATCTCTTCCAAAATTGTGAATAAAATAAATTATGTAATGCAGAAATGGAAAATGGAAAGCGTGTGCATTGTTAGTAACAGTTCGATATCAACGGATTGAAACGTTTTTGAAATGTTTTCAAGAAGATGGCTTATGATTATCGAGTATTAATTAAAATGTGTGTAATAAGCAAATAAGTTTTGAAAGAACTCATATAATAAACCGATATTTATATTACATATAGGCACGAGGAAGTAATATCATTTGGAGTTAAGTATGTATCATACACGTAGTGTAGTGCCTTACAATATCATGTAAATTCCTGAGATATAGGTAAGTTTTTATCATGCGCTGGGATTCAATCCTGCAAGGTGCTTCAATTTAAATTATAATTACAAACTGTAAATTTCTCACTATTTAGAAAAAGCCATTAACACGAAAACATTTGTATGAATGATGAACTATTAATTTTTTGTAATGTTACGGTGTAAGTATGTACCTCTAGTAATATTTTGTAGTTAATAAAGAATATTATTGTATATATGTTTGAAAGACTTATCGTACACAAACGAATGATTTTGTATGTACTGTGAAAGATAAAGTTATAAATTTATTAAAAACATTAATCAGCGTTGATTTTATTCCTTCTAAATACCTTATGTAAAATATTTCATAATTTACACCAGTGATACGCTAAAATAAAAACCATTGGATATGGAAAGAAATTCGAAATAAAAGCGTCAAACTCAATTTTTCATTAGATCGTATTGTATGTGTATGTATGTATGTATGTATGTATGTATGTATGTATATATATATATATAGGAACAGAATAGGGCCGTTCGACATATATATATATATATACACACACACACACACACTGTTGAATCTTGAAATGGAGTGTCAACGTTAAATCCAGCAGTTGCATTGTTGAAAGTTAATAATCAAAGTTATTATATTACGACAATTGTATAGAGTTTGTCAAGAGATTTCGTCTAATCTGCAATGATTAAAAGAACACTATTTTCTTTTATTACATAAAAATGAGTAATTAGATCGAAGTACTAATTTGATGCCCAAGGCTAACCTCATTAGCAATGGGCAACTATGCGGGTGATATTGTTATTTGGTGAGTTGTCATGTAAATTTATCATTGTTTATAACAATTATGTGAAATGAAGATCATTACTCTTCACGATTTATGCCATTTCTTTTGACAGTCTAATAGTGCTGTTTTCACTATGCTTCTTATATGGTACAACACACATAATCACGTCATTTGTTGGAAGTGGAGAAAATATACTGAGCTCAAAAACATATTACAGTTGGATTGTTAGGTTTCTTTTAAACTTTCTAGGATATTCTACAGTTTTGTTGCCTGGTTATTTAATTTATAAATATGTAAGAATCAGTCAATATCTTCAAAGAAGAGGTTAGAGAATTAATAATTTGTATACTGATTAGAATTATATAATAAATTAATAATCAAAATGCTTATAACTTAGGAAAAGGATGCTTATCAAAACTAGTACATTCTTGTTTTGTGGGAAGTGGGGATCAAGGGCTATTAGACTCTTCACTACCATTAATTGGCCCTTCACGCACATTTTACCAAGATACATTAATACTTATTCACTGTTTTCTTGGGCTTCAAGTCAGTTATTTAACATGGGGATATTTACAAGAAAAAATTATGACCCAGGTAAACATATTATTGCATATTATTATATTATTCAATACTTTATGTGTATAACTTTCTAATTTTCTGAAATTTACACTGTAGGAATATGAAGATAGCAATGGCAATAAGGGTCATTTCAAAGATTCACAATTTCTAGTCTTTATAAATAGAGTCCTGGCAGTTGTTATATCTGCAGTTTGTCTGCTTCTTATTAGGCAACCATCACATACAATACCATTATACAAATATGCATTTTGTTCATTCTCTAATGTTTTAAGTAGTTGGTGCCAGTATGAAGCGCTAAAATACGTCAGTTTTCCTACTCAAGTACTGGCAAAAGCTTCAAAAATAATTCCTGTGATGATCATGGGTAAAATTGTATCACGTTCAAAATATGAATATTATGAGTATGTGACAGCTGTTTTAATATCTATAGGAATGATGATGTTTATGTTTGGAAGTACTGACCATGAAAATGGTAAGATATGTTTTTGTATAAATTTTATATTAACCCTGCTGATGTGTTGAAATATTTTACGTATAAATCATTTAACTAACATTTTTTCAGATGGTGCTACTACATTTTCTGGAATTGTTCTGTTAGGTGCATATATGACTTTGGATAGTTTCACAAGCAATTGGCAAAATGCTTTATTTACTGACTATGGTGTGTCCAGTATTCAGATGATGTGTGCTGTTAATATATTTTCCTGTTTATTAACAGCAACTTCCCTTTTGCAACAATCAAGTCTTATGTATTCATTAACTTTCGTGACAACAGTATGTAACATGTTATTCAGTTATATTTTGAATGAAAATTTACAAGTCACTGTAATTAATTAATTGTTTCAGTATCCTCATTTTGTAGTAGATTGTATTTTGATTTCCATCTTTTCTACTACTGGCCAATTGTATATATTTTATACGATTTCAAATTTTGGAGCTGTTACATTTATCATAATGATGACGGTCCGACAGGTAATTGAAACCTAATTAGTTTTAACCATTTTAATACCAGTTGAATATAAGAATATATTATTCATAAATAATGTCAATTACAGGGTTTTGCAATACTTCTATCATGCCTAATATATCATCACTACATTACACCACTTGGTATATTTGGAATAATCATAGTCTTTTTAGCAGTATTCCTAAGAATTTACTGCAATAATAGATTGAAAGCTATTAAAAAACGCAGAGCTGAGGCTATTGGTATAAAAAATAAGCCTTAAGTATTTTCCATAAATATATTTAATTGTTATTGTAAATTTTGTACATACATCAACATAAGAGAAACGATCTCATACTTAGTATTCTAAGTGTTTAATGATCAAAGAGAATTAAATTTTATAAAGTTATTGACAATATGTGATGATTCAGTTGTAACAAGAAATATTCACGATGATAACAAGAACACTATAAGTTAAGTACATAATAATAAATACATAAATAATTACTTATGTGCATATCTTTGGTACGTTGACAGTCGTGGTATAAAATTCAGCCTTCTGGTGGTGGTCGTCTATAGACAGCAATTAGGAACATGATAGCAACAATAAGTTCTGTTGCTAGTAGTACAATTTGTATCCCACATAAAATTTGTTCCAATTTAAAGGTTCTATCTTGCCAAAACAAAAAGTACAGTGTAGCTAGACTACTGGGTATATTTAAAGCTACCCCTAACAAAAATGGCAAGCCATGGTCCATTAAATTTCCTTTTCTACCCAAATAAATTCTTATACCTTCTGTTGTTATCAAAAATAACAACAATGCAAATTCCATAGATGCTGCCTCAAAACTTGAGGGAAAATTATATGCTTTAACACATTTCATACAAAATTCACATGTTGCAAACATTCCAAAATAAAACATATTAAGGTATAAGAGCACTTGATAGAATAATGAGAGCACAGCTGCTGAAGACATTTCGTAATTGCTATTTTAGTTATTTTTGAGATTTTGATAAAAGCTGTTTGTTTTTGATTGCGCTGAGTTTATCTTTAAACACTATTTTCATTAAATAAAATGAATTCCACAAACAAATAAAATTATTAACTAAAATAAAAAAAATTATTTGACTTGTTACGACTACGCTATTTGATTGTTTTACTACATTAATGGCCGGCGTCCTTTTAACCTATTCATATCCCATAGGTTAAGTATGCCAGTTACATATATATACATATATATATATATATAACACTACATGGATTCGAGAAAAATTGAACTTTTTGCGATATCTTCATGAAATACAAAATTCAAATGGAAATAAAAACAATAGGTGGTATATTTTATACAAATTTATTTATGATTCGAAACTTTTTACAATTATTACACTCAAATAATTTAATTTAAGTAAATAAATATTTTTTCACTTAATTGTCTTGACAGTGTATTATATTGCATTATTGCTCATAGGCTCAAATAAAATAGTTCGATATAAGATGATTATCTTAATTAAAGAAATAATTAATTCGAAATTACAATTGTGACAATCATTATACTATTTACAAAGAAAAACACTCAAATAAAAGAAAGAGTCGAAGATAAAATTTAACAAATAATTATTTTACATTGCAAATAACCACAAAATCATAAATAACTTAGCTTTTTAAGAATTTTCGTTAGAAAACCTATTATTTATTGATCCATAAATCACACTCTTTGTTTATACTGGTATTCTGAGTGCTTACGAAGTTTTTGTGCTTGTATATTACATTTATTTATATAAATATCATGCAATAGCATATAAATTTTATAGTGATATAGAAATTATACGATAAAAACGTTTAATTAGTAAAGTCTTTTATCAACTTTTTTCTCCAGTGTAAGTGTGAACTATATGTTCTTATCATTATCACCGATATTTTTATTGGAGCACGGTATTTGGACCTATCAAATTTCTTGTAAATCATGTAAGAAAAAAATATTCAATGAGTAACAGTGTCTTCAAATAATTGATGATTTTTTTGTACAAAATAACACTAAATATTAAAATTTGTATAAATTCTTTTGCAAATATTACCAAATGCACGATTTATTTCTAAATTTATATGAGTTTCAATCCAATCACACTAATCAGTCACGTACACATGATCACATGAAGATTTAGAAAAATAATTCTGTGCAACTATCATATTTGAACCAGTACATAATACTCTTTACGTTCATTTGAACCAGTACATGAGCTCTTTACGTGTTCATTTGCACATTAAGATTATTCGCGATATCATTACTGTGATGCTCTTTTAAACTCTTGCTTTGAAAATGATTTATATTCTTCACTTTTGTTCTTAACAGAAATTATTCTGTAAAAGTCCAAAAATGTTTCTTAGAGTCTCATAAGTCTCGTTTTGAGGGAGGAATCAAATGATCCGGTAATTCTACAGGCAACTCATGTCCGTCTAATTTAACCTTAATTAGATGCATAGCCAAGGCAAATTCATCAGAATCAAGATATCCATCTTTGTCTACATCTGACAACTTCCAAATCTTTCCAAGTACAGTGTTAGGTAACTTTGATTTAACCATTTCGGATTTAGCAGCTGGGAGAAGGATATATTTAGTATATTTCTGAATGTTAAATAATTTCCTTGTTTAGAAAAAATATTAAAAATAATATTCCATACCTGCACCCGTAACTTTTCCATCTGACGGCTCAAGAGTTTCAAATATAGAATCATACTTGTACTTCTCCTTCATAACAATCCATTCTGGTTCATTAGCACCAGCATCAATTCCTTCTCCTTTTTTGTATCCAAATGGACTTACTTGATCTTCTACTCCTTCAAATGCTCCTCCTAATAAATTCAGTAAATTATGAAAAATTGTTTCTTATATCTAAGAAATAAACTATTTGAATAACATAGATATTGAATAAAATTTACCTTTAATGTTGGGTTCTGAAGTAGTTGTAGTTTCTTCATGAGGAATCATACCCATCAGTTTTGAAATGTCTTCAGAAAGCATTTTATCTACAACTTCTAATAATCTAGGTTTGATGAGATTGAATTTTGTAAAATCGTGGTGAGCCAGTTTTTCTTGCATTTTTTTAAGATCTGGAAAGTCCCCAGGTGAAATTTGTTTCTCTCGTTGAATTTGATCATAAATCTGTCCCAAGTGTTTAATAAGTTCCTTTTTTTTAGTATCTTTACCAAACACTGTAGGCATATCTTTCCTTAAGGCACTAATAATATAAGCATGTACCTGGAATAAAAGTATTAGTATTAGTATTAGTATTTGGAAAAGTAAGTTTTAATATTTCAAAAATTTTTTATAATTTTTACTGTTGCTAAACGCGCTCTTTTGATCAAATCATTAAGTTTTCTCAGTGCAGCATTTCGTGGCAGTGATCGCATATCCTTGAAAAGATCTTGTTCTTCATCTTCAAATAGCCTAGAATAACAGAAGGTATTCATTTTGTTATAAAATTAGTTAAACCGTTCAAATAAAAATAAAAATAATAAATTTAATTACCTTCTGTTTACATCATATCTAAGTGGTTGATCCCAGAAAGATCCAATGTACACTCGTGCAACTTCTGGTGTTTGTAAAACTTTACCAAGAGACCACATAAGGGCTCCATATACACGCATCAGTTGCTGATGGTCTACCATATCAGCCTTATTCAGAACAATCCTTATTTTATCATCATGCCCACGTAGAGCTTCAATTGATCTTCTAAATTCATCAGAAATATCTAATTTATGTGCATCAAACAGTAAAATTATCCTATCTACACGTTCTGCAAACCATTCCAGTACTCCAGTAAAGTCATAACCCCTGTCAACCTAAACAATCCAAGTAATTATTAATGTCACAATTGATTTAATCATTAAATCATAATAAATAATACAAACCCTCTGTTTTTCTCCAGATAAAATTCCAGGAGTATCAACAATTGAGATACCCTTCAATACTGGAGAATTGACAGTTGAACATTGAAAACGGTTGAGAAAGGCATTTCCAAATTTGGTCAGAGGTCTAAACTGTTTCTGTGGGTCCACAATTAGAGCATTACCAGGAATGACACCTTCTTTCTCATCATACATAACAGCTATGAACCTGTCAGTAGTAGGCTCTGGTCCAATTCTAATTCCTGGAAATTCTCTCTCCAGCAAGTACTTGATAAAGGTTGTTTTACCAGTGGAGTACTGTCCTACCAGCAATATCATGGGTTTTGCATCAAAATCTGGATCATCAAGTTGTGGGGAGTGAAAGTCATGGAACTGATAGAATTGTTCTAGAGGTAAGAGCTTAGACTTGTAGATTTTCTTGAGACCTTCGGTGACATTGTCAAACAGATCCTGATTGGCATCCTCTTTTTTCATCCAGCTGAACATGATGAATTTTTAAATGCAGTAGTTTCTCACTGTTCACTTTAAAACCTGTGTATAATTAAAAACCAAGATTACAAAGTGAATATAACAGAGTGCAAGTGAGTTAGACAGAGACTAGAGAATTGGGTTTCCACATTATTTACAAAAACTAGCTTGATAGCTGACTGAAAAAGGTTCGTCAAAAACTAGCATACGAGATAGATAGAGGTAACGATGACGGGATGTAACGAGTGAAGAAAATCGAAACAGTGCGTGGAATTCGTTTGTCCATTAAGACTTAACGATTGCTACTTCGCGATCGCGCGCATATACTCGCGTAAGCAGCCGGCATCAATTATAGTCAATAAAGCTGGGAAATTAGATCGCGGCCCCGGTACGGACACTTTTCATTTAACCTTTCAGGCAGAGAAATAAGACTACTACCGTGCTACCGCCCGTTAATTGTCCTAGTCATATGAATTGAGACAGAAAGAGGAGAGTGAGGAGAGAGTGAGGAGAGAGAGAGAGAGAGAGAGAGAGAGAGAGAGAGAGAGAGAGAGAGAGAGAGAGAGAGAGAGAGAGAGAGAGAGAGAGAGAGAGAGAGAGAGAGAGAGAGAGAGAGCCTGATGATCACATACCAGTTATTAGTCGGTATAGGAAAAAGAAGAAGGTATTCATGCACTACACTACACACTACATGATGATTCACTGGCTGAGGAATTACCCCGCAACGTTGGCATCGACCAGCTGTATACGCTTTCGAACGTAAAAATAGGGTTGTTGTGGCGTACAGATTTGCTTGGTTGCACAGTGACTTGCAGGCATAGGCGAAAGGAGATAAAGGTTTTTTCGTCTTATACTTTACTTGTTGTCTTTGTTACGGATTTACGTACCTAGGAATACTTAGATAGAGAGAATCGGATGCACGCTGGCTACGTGCTGTAAGTACGTCCGCGTGTACGCGGCTCGACTATTTAAATTGCAGCTGCGACGTCGAGTCGTTCACTACACACTGCTGTTCCGATGACCCTAACCTGCTCTCTCTCTCTCACACACTTTTTTAAGGGCGTCTGGTGGGGGAAACGCGAGAAAGAGAGGGAGAGATACAAAGCGAAAGGTCCGTCGCACGCGAGAATACGTGTGGATATATAGATGATGCATGCACCACGTAAACACGGGAAAGACGCCCATACGATCTGTTTGACAACGCGTGTGTATGTGCGTGGTGCGACGAAAAGTTTGCCTTGTCTTGTATTTTTTTATCGTCGACTGACAGTCTATCAGCGTTTGCGCATCTGTTTTTTTATTCTCTGTCGCTACTTATTCAGACTAGACGATCTAATTATCTTTCGAGATTAAATTCCGTTTAACGAGATTCTGACTTGAACTGAAAATTTTTCCCTCGATCGCGACTGTTCGAGTGTTCTATTACGTGCGAGAACCAGTCGCTTTTCGAAATTACAATGATCTTTCGATAATCATCAAAAAAGCACTCACGTGGATTTTCCACACTAGACAAGTCAGCTTCGATGCATCAGCGAACACCAGTAGAAAAAACAAGTTGATAGGCGAGTTTGCGGCAAGTGAAGCGCATCCGCGCAATTCGAAGAAGGCCAATTGACTGATATAATTGTAATTCAGATCGCCGCGTCTAATCGGTCTACATTGTTGGGCGTTTACTTCCCTCCACAAAACTCTTTGCGCGCGCGTGTTTTTCACAACGAGTCTCTTTTCACTGCGCGCAGACACGCGAATACGATTTATGCGTGTAGCTTCTTTGCGCTGTCAAGGAATTGATTGTGACAGTTACAAGGACATTGGAGGTAGTAGCGGCAACACACCTTTCGCTTCGGTCGAACGAGCTTCGCCGAGTACGCGCGACCGTTTAATTTTAGATTTTTCAACGATTGCGCAATTTCATTAGCTCGCGTAAGCGCGCGTTTCCTGCATTGATCTCGTTCTCGCATGCTAACGAGTTTACGTATGCCTGTGTATTGCTGCTGTTTTTTCTCTGGGTCAATTTTAGAATAACGCCGTTTATAAATTATCGCTGGGATTAAACGGAAGTTACGAATAATAACATAAACAAGATACACTTTTAATGGAAAATTTTTTTAACGATCGATCAATGCTCGCAGTGTTTTTGCAGCCAGATCAATGAAATGTATAGTTCGTTGATTTGATTAGCTTAAATTAGAGTGTTCGCAAATCACTATATCTACTGTTCTTCTACATAAACCTCGTTTCATTTTTATCGTATTCATCATTTTTTTCGCATTCCTTCGCGATGCTATCGTGACACTTCGCTGTAACGTTATCTTGGAAACAAGCGGTTGAACCTACGTCGGTTAGTTCGGGCTCGCGGATGCAGTAAAATATTTGTTCGAGATTAATCACCACCTGTACGAACGTTTTTCTCATTCGACAATTATATTGATCTACCGGCGATGTGCTATTCCGTTAAGCCTCCCCCTCCCTTCATCCCCCAATACAATTCTACAGTTAACTAAAATGTGCGTATAGTATACGAGGAAAATTTGTCGCGTCTTCCCTCCAATAGTTTGCCACGAAACATAGTTGACACTTGAAAAAAATGAATAATGATAAACGTTATAACCTAGATTGCGACTAATCAATTTTGGAGCATTCTATTTAGCGATTTCGTCATATCGGTCCAGTTAGCTAACTAGTGTTGGAAAGTAGATTCTTGTCTAGTGTGAAGCTAAGGTAGAAAGGCACCAGAGACGAAAATCTTTTGTTTAACTTAAAGATGATAGGCGATACCGCGCATGTTAAAATGGATCTTACACGATGCATTATTCAGCGCAGTCTATGAATTGTAATTCTGATATATTGTATTTTGTAATTATGATACGCGTTTTTTACGTAAAATTTATTATAATCATATTTTGTAATAACGTTGTATGTAATAAGTCAGTATATATTATTATAGAAAGGATTTCTCATTTTCTGTGTTTGACACATTTAAACTAATGTACGATTTGTTATTTTGCCATAGTCAGTTGATTTATTCAGCCTTCTTCTATGATAAATACTTTATTAGCAAAGTTTTATAGATAAATTTATCAAGATTGGAATAACAGTTATGACATGAACTAATATTTTGTTTCATACGTAAAAATAAATACCATTGACAGCTCAAAATTATCTCTAATTTCTTTGCTTTTATGATGAAACCGCAAAATAGAACGCTTCAAAATTGATTAGTCATAATCTAGGCTGTAACATTTATCAATTCTAATTTTTGAAAGTATCGACTACGTTTCATTTGGGCAAGACCTTAAAGGAAATAGACGATCGAATTCCCTCGTTAACTGTATGTATTGATTGTAGTTAATTATGGCATTGTACGAGGGAGCCTTAAACAGACACGACTTACATAATTTTTATCTCGAACTCCAAGTTCGACGACGTATCGGACTTTGCCTCGCAAGCGCGCGCGCGCCAGTGTTCGCCGTATTAATTAAAGTTTAAAGAAGGCTCAGTGGCCAATTGTGCAGTTTAAAATTGTTCAGTCGTGACTGTCTCTGTCGCACCTACACATATATTCGGCCGCAAGGCTGACAACCCCGTTATCGGGACTATTAGCGTCGGCTTAGAATCGCACATTTCCCACAACGAGTTTGCGTATTCACGTGAATTTTACGAGCGACCGAGGATGATTCAATCGGCCGAAACTTACCCACGAATAGCGAGTCGCGAGCTTTGACGCCGCCGTCTCGCGTCCGACGAAAAACTTGGCCTTCGCGCTATTTAGCCGCAGACTTTGGACTGCGTACGAATTTTGCGGTTTGGCGCTCTGCGTTTATGCAAGCGTAATCACGGCGTGCCGATAACACTGATAACCGTAAACTCGAGCAGAGAGAGAGAGAGAGAGAGAGAGAGAGAGAGAGAGAGAGAGAGAGAGAGAGAGAGAGAGAGAGAGAGAGAGAGAGAGAGAGAGAGAGAGAGAGAGAGAGAGAGAGAGAGAGTGATTCAGTTCGAAAACTTTTTTCCCCGACGAAGTGCTTAGTCACACAAAGAACTCGTTGGCTTTTGTGCCGTCCTGAATGCCGTAAGAAGGATGCTGCGCTCTCTCTCGAGACGAGAGCAACAAGAGCGAAAAATGGCACTGATAAGCGCTTGGCGTATCGTCCCTTTCCCCTGCCGTCAGTGACTTTCTCGTGCTGGATGCATCTGGGTCGACCGCGCATTTTGGTCGTCAATCGTCGCCGCCGGAGGTTAACCTTTAACGGACAGCGCGTTGCCATTCTCGCAAACAAAAACGGAGCGTTCGCGCGTTCCGAGCTGATTTAAAAACATTTGAATCGGCCGAACCTATAACTGTTTCGATTGTGTCGCGCGGACGTGTTAGGAGTTTACGTTTACGTTCGTGCGCGCGCGCAAAAGTCAAATACAAGCGAGCGAAAGTTTACAGCGATCGCGTTCGCGCGCTTTACGGCAATTTATCGCTTTAGCCTTGTCGCGAGGATTCGTCGCGACAGCTCGCGCGCTCCGAGGTCGTGTCACGAGAGGAGCAAGCCACGCGGGTGTTTTCCCCAAACCGCGAGGATAATAACGCGGCAGCGCGCGCGTGACGATGATGCGCGCAGGATGGATTACACGCGGACAGACGACGTCTATTAGACGCGGTGCGACAAGTTGGCCCTGCAACACCGGCGACTATTGCGTAACGCGTGTGCTACATGCAAAGCCGCGCGGTCATTACACAACTAGCGCATCCTGCGAACCATTCCGTTTCGACGAGCGACTCTCTCTCTCTCTCTCTCTCTCTCTCTCTCTCTCTCTCTCTCTCCCCCCCCCCCCCCCTCTCTGTCTCTCTATAACGAAAGCGATCTGGAATGACTTCTGACGTATCACGCGCATGCCTGTCTATACGCCCGTGCGTGAAAGTCAGTCGACGCTTCTTCGGATGCGCGCCTACCTGAGAGCATGCAAGCTCGATTCGGTTCCGAAAGCAGATCCCCCGGCGAAACACGCGCCAACGAATTGCACATCGTTCCGGTTCTTTTATGACGCCGGCGTTGGAGGTTAGCGCAACCGGCCTTCGCGCGAAGCAGCAAAGAGAATCTCGTACGTTTACCCCTTACTCTGCCCACTCGTCATCGCCGAGAGAATTATTGCTACACGTAATCGATGGCAGTAAAAGAGGATTACCGCTCCGCTGATTTTTTGTCCTCTCGATTGGCAGGACGCGATTTGCGTCCAACAATAAGTCCTTTCTCTCGCCTCGTTTCTCCCTCCCTATCTCGATTCCTTCCTCTGTGCCGTTATAGAAAGGATCGATTTATTGGATTGAAATATGATGGGATCAGCTGAGTGTATTTAGCTTTACAATTGTTTCAATGGGCTTTTGGAAACGAAACGACCATCGTAAATTTTTATATATATTTCTGTGTGCAATACATTTTTATGGTTCTCATTTATTCAGCTGCATCTCTCTCTGACTTTGGCGTTATAGCAATGTTTCGCTATTTATATGCAGTTCGCCTGACAGGAAGCTGTAGTTACGTTTTTACGTCCTTGCCGATGAAATCAAATAGTCGTCAGAAGGCTATATGAAAATAACGTTTTTCTATACATCGGTGAGCATCGCTTCAAGCATGCAATATTCTTGCCCGAGATCCTATAAATCCAAGCGGCACTTGATACTTCAATTGCTCATCCGGAATCCGTTGATGAGATTCAAGTGGCTTTCAGTCAAATATTTCACCGGAGTCTCGCGAACGGTCTCTCGAGAAGCACCAGCAACAGAGCACTTTACCGCCACTTACAGACCATCAACTGCAGTTCAGTCGCGGCCATAAGTATCTCGTGGAATATAGCGTCTAGCTTTCAAACATGGAACTCAGTGCACGACTGCTTTGCGATTTCTTTTCGAGTAGTTTATCGCGGAAACGAGAAAAATGGGTTCGAAAAAATGCCGATTCGATTGACCGCAGGCGTTGAACTTGAAATGAAATATGAGCGATCGCAAAGTTGACCGATGCTGAGATGGGAGATTGTACTTTTAAAACTGCGTTTACCGATTCAGTAGCAACAGCATCTAGCGGTCGGACACGTGCTCGGATCTGCAGTGAAACCATACTCTTTTATCGTTTTCATCGGATACAATAACATAAACCACAAATATCTAAATAGTACGTGACAATTATGCTCAACGCCAAGCCTCGCGTTCCGGACTGCAAGCCGATCGCTTTGCGTCGATTGGCAATCGAGAGTGATAAGCTCGGCTGCACTTGTCCGCTAGAATTTTGGACTCCGATTGGCAAATCCAATTGTCGTCGTATCGATTGGCGCATAAGCTCACGCGCCGGCGATCAGCCGTTTGCTTGCTTCTCCGCTCGCACGGACCTGCAGATAATCGGTATATTTAGATATGATCCACGATGCTTGCACGAGCCGCTTGAGCGATAATCTATTCGTTGTCATTGACGAACGCTTCGATGACGCGAATGAATCTCATACTTACAGCACGGCGAATTTCGGGACGTGTGACATTGACGTGCTTTTAACAATTCTCCGTCGTCGAAGCAACAAGTTACGTTGCGGTGATCGCTGCAAATATCATTTCGCTTTTCACGCCGATTCAGATATTTCCGGTGCTGGATATTCTTAAAGTTCTCGAATTCTTCTTTGTAGATCTTCTTCTGCTGCTGCTCGCATTGACGGCTGCAACGATTTCTGCAGTGCCCGCGCCAACGATCACGACGGCCGTACCGTCGATCTTTACGACATTTCGAATTAGACTTACTTCTAGGACTGTTCAGGGTGACGATTGACTCCAAGATTTCCAGAGTCGGCGGTAGCTGCAGTTCGGAAAAAGTGCTTTTAATACGGTCCACTGCAGAGCTAAACAGTAAACATAATCGTTCTTTAATTTCCCTTAGCTTTTTTCGTTTCTCCATTAATCCATCATTTACGAGCACAATTTTCTTCCAATAAAACAAGCTTGTGAAAATATTGATTGGTACCGATTGCATTAGTCAACTTAAAAATGTCTTGTATAATGATTTCGATAATAGCTGTTCCACATTTACAATAATTATGGAAGTTATTAGTTTATAAGTATATCGAGGTTAGATTGATAAAAAAAAAACGATCACATAAGAGAGTGAAACAAATGAAATGTAGATGAAAATAATATAGTATATGTAAATATATATGTACAAATGTCTGATATAAAAACCAACTCTATCGCTTATTTTTTAAATCGCCAGAAATTAAAGTTTAGAAACTACATAAAAGATTTACAAAAGTGCAAGTGGTCACAATACCACTGTTCTTATCACTGTTTATCTTGGAATATTCCAGATTTTTGTACTGTTGCACAATGATCCGCAACGCAATGAAATTCATTGGTTCTACTATGATAAGTATTGTGCGTACGCTATAACTTATGACACTCCTGATTCCAGTCATATGGAAGCACATCTTGCCATAATTTAAACAAGTCGTCAAGTAAACAAATATCGTCGCAGCCGGGGATCCTTAGTTTATAGAGCGACGTTGTTTCTGTGTTATTCAGCATTGAGATCTAAAAGAAAAAATAAAGTTTTATTTTGTCGATCACAAGGTGCATTCACGTTAGTTTACGGTATCGATAAGAATATCACTGTCTACTTACTCGAACCTCCTGAGATTGGCCTCCGTTGGCAACCCGCAATTCGAAAACAAGCGTAACGCCAAGATCGAGTTTGAAAAGTTCATTAGTAAAACCCATAGCTCGTAAGGTGTTCACAACGTTGACGTCGTGCGTACCGTACAAGAAAATTTTCTCATTTTCAGGTCCATGTTTCATGTTTTCAAGAATATGCTTCAATAGAGGACCTTTAACGTGAAGTTATTGCATCGCGTAACGCAAGGCACCGCAGCAATTAAAAAGACAAAGAATTATTCAAACTACAATTACCTCCGCGCAGTTTTCGTTGCAATGTATTACTGGTGAATAGCGTGTAACTGCGAGCTGCTATTTCTCGCATTTGAGAGTTGTAATATTTTTTAATTGGATCCGGAAGCTCCAGCCCATTCAGCACCTAATGGTGAGTGAAAAGATGAGTAATCGGAGACAGTGATGGATAGAGGTTGCATTAATCCGTAATAATTACCTCGATTTCCAGTGTATTATAGAGAAATTCAACATCCGTGATGGTTTTGATCGGTTGCCCGGTGATATCCGCGAGTTGCTCGTAATAAGATTTCAATTGGGCGTCGGATCTGAGCGACTCATTGCGATAAGCTTCGTCCAATGCCGTGGCGAGCGCCGGGCAGTCTTTCGCGACGACCAGCAGCTTTACGAAATCGAGAGCAGGTCGTTGTTAGCGCGACGAGAGGAAAGTCAGTCGCGGGCTGCAGGATTGAAAGGGCGCGCGCATACCTCGTCCATAAACCTGGGCACATAGTGAACGGCGATGGGCCTCCAGGGCAAGCCCTCGACAAAAGCGTCCTCCTCGCGATAAAGGCCGGCGAGCAACGCTTGGGTCGACATAATGCAGCGGTCCGAGTAGCTGCTGTTCACTATTGTGCTCGAGGCCGCGTACTTGTTGTCGGTGATCCAGCCGTACTCCTTGTGTATCCATTGGCCAAGCGTATACATCTGCAGCATCCCCTTCTGCGTGCGACCCATTGTTCGTTCGTGCAACATGAAAGCAGGCAAAGCACTGAGCGCTCAACCGAGCGAATCGATATCTCGTGAAAATACCTTGGTCAACGCTCCCCATCCTCCGGGCCAAGAGTAGTTTACGTACGGATCTTTAGGATACGTCTCCGTTGGATTTCGATCGCCGTGACGGAAAACCTGCCGCAGGCCAACATCAATCCGATTCAAATTTCACGCGTGTAACTTTATATCTTTACGCGAGAGCGTAATAGGAGACCGCTATGTCAAATTATTTATGCAGGCTGCGCGCGTAGGCGAGTAACCGAGCTTCTTCTCGCAGAGCAAAGTAGAAAAATAAGCGTCCATAAAATTTTATTGCTACGCGACGCCAACGATAAAGCCGGCGCGGCGTGTATCTAAAATACTCACGATGAACACTTTCTTCAGCGAGGCGTCCTTTGGTTTGTCTCCAAAAGCTGTGTACGCCAAGAGGATGGATCCGATTATCACTGCAAGGATCACGACTGCCAGGCATATTTTCCGATTTCCTGGCTGACAGCCACGCCTGAATACACTTCTGGTCTCCATCACTTTCAGCGCGATAATTTGTCAGTGAGAACGCATTGTTCTGCGAAATTTATCGAGTGATTTTCGTTCGCCTACAATCTACAGCTCAAAATTTCTTCAGTCAAGTATTGCAGGACTTACGCTCGCTCAGTCAGTCGGGAATTCGATTTGCTTTGTTTATCGCAGTTTTGCCGATTAAAAAAAGAGCAATCGCTTTTGCGAAAACTGCAAAGCTTACGGATTCATTGAGCTAGAATTACAACACAAATTCCATATCATTTGACTTTTATTTTTGAGAAGTGAATTCTCTTAGCATGATTAACAAAAGTAAAAGTGCATCGATATATATATATATATATATATATATATATACATATATATATATATATATTTGAAACGTAAACGATCAAAGTATATATTTTTAATGGGCTAGCGTTTCAATGAAATGTCCAAATATAAATAAATAAACTTACTTGCGATAGCACGTTTCCCTGGCAAATTTCCGTCTGGTGCAGTATAATGATTTGACGAGAGTCCTATTGAAAGCCGTACCTGGAGATCCAAGCCAACCGACGCGATCGCAGCGCTTCGCAGTTCTCATAGAAAAAACTACGCTTCAAAACGTCTCGAAACGAACCGTAAGTGCGAAAAAATGTTATACCTTAGATTATTTTACTGATAATTGATTATGATTCTCTGATAGAGCGGTTCTTTTAGTGAACATTTTTCTACTACAGCTTTAACACGATTAACAATCCAGAGAGATCCGCAACGGAGGTGAAAAGCCAGCTGATCAAATAACTGACACAGTACTCTATGTCACGAGGTTCCACTTTAGCTTGGGCGCTTCGAATCAGGATCGTATGTACGCGCGCGAGGCCCCCTCTTTTTTTAAATTTATTCAAAATTGTTTGATTCCATTACATCATTTCACAGAAATATTCTATTAACAACACGCCTTTCTGTTACTTTTATTAGCTCTACTTACAAGTTAGTTTTCCGTTAATGGACCATTAATGAATTTATTTAACATATTCATAATTGGTTAATAATAAGCCTTATTGATTAAAAAATCATCCAATTACCTTTGCAACATGCTTTACTAGAATTTAAAAAATTTGATTATCATCATAAACTATTAATTAAAGTGATACATAGGTAAGTCTACAAAAATAAGTAACTATATATTGCTTTAATTTGCATTTTATTACAATAATTAAAGAACAAGATTCATTTCAAAAGTTCAACAGAATACAAACTATTGCTAAAACATATACTAGACCTGCCAGCATGGATTTGTAATTTTAAAAATTATTTGCACATGAGATCAATTACTTAATATTTACGAATATTAATTAACATTTTTTAGTTAAAATCTTTTTCTTTATCTTTGGATGGAAAAACAAATGATTTATGATTGCTAATATAAAAATCTTTCTTTTATAAAGATGTTACTTATAAGAAAGTGATTAATTAAGAACATACGTAAAGTATTGTAATAAAATAAAGTAGGTAAATTGAAGATCCCCATCAAAGGATAATAAATGTACATACATATATATGTATTAATAACTCATATATAATTGCATTACAAGTTTAAATTGTTTCAAAATAAGAAGTATAAATTACAAGAATATTTTTGTTAATCAGAACTTAATAATTTCTTATATAGAAATCGAACTAGCGACTGTGAGTATTCGAGTTACAGTGATTCAAATATTTGAGTTATTATAAAGTTATTTGAAATTTTGAGAAAGCTTAGAATCTGCGATTTTTATTATAATTTTGTATTGCATTTTCGTTGCGAAATAAATACAAAGTAAGCAAAATGAATAATGCAACGGAAATAAATTAGATTTTACTACAGTGCTCAAATTTTTATTGACTATTATTTTAATACGTTAAAATTTATATTTTTATGTATTATATCTACTCCTGATCTCTTCTTTATGTTTGAAATAGAATAATCTCAACCGTCTCTGAATAAATCTTTCTTTCCGACGTAAATATATAATGATTTTTTTCTAGGAATGCTAAAGTTATCCAAGCAAGTGGAACAAAATCTTTATTTTCTAACAAAAATAATTGTAACTAGAACTACAAAATTGTATATATTTATAAATTAAAGCGTGAAAATTTTTCCATCTGCTGAATCTGTCTCCAATACGTACCCTACCCTCCTTTGATGTGTTTAAAATAGATAATTTACTGTATTCTTACTTTACTTTGAATTTGAGAAAAATCACTACTCCAAAAGAACTGAGAAGCTTTCATGAATCTGTTTTGTCACAATTCTTTATTACGGCTGAAATTAATAGCTTTATTAATAAAAGATACTATACTTCAATTCAGTATCAACACATGGTTTTAATTTAGTATCCAATTAATTATAACTTGTAAGGGTTTGAGAAAAAGAAAATTTTCTTTTTATTGTTAGTTATGTAAAATAAAGATATTTATCTATAATTCTACGTGTTAAATAATTTCTAAAACAATTATTTTTTATATTGCGGTTAAAACGATAAATAGCTGTATACCTTTCTCGAGATTATTATGACATATTAATGTATTTAATAAGACTGGGACTGTTGAGAAAATTCATGTGAGGCATAGTAGATTAGAACCGTGCACGTAAAATTCATCCATGAAACGATATTTTTTACACATATACGACGAGGATGAACGATAATTATTGGAAGCATAGATTATTATAATACTGATCGTGGACGTGAGTTTGCCATAGTGTCCGGCACATAAATTTCAAACTTCCCAAAATACCGCTTTCTCGTTCAATATGCGTCGCAAATTTATGACTTGGCTTTAGCAGCGTTCACATTTATGTGTATACAATGATAAATAGAAATAACGGCAAGTTGCCGACGTCTCTTCTCTCTCTCTCGTTACATATATAATATATTTGTATTCCTATACTCATCATATACATTTATATATATATATATATTTGATTTTCTTCATTAAATAATTATAAGTTCCATTGTTATTGTGATCGTTTACTTCTGTTTCATTTCGGTTTAAGCTCAATTGAAATATAATCTGCGAGAATGTAAAGCGATAATCTTGCATGGAGCTTCGAAATAAGACAATATGTTTAGATTAAAATGTTTGTTTTCGTTATTCTACTTATATGTTTTGTTTTTATCAACTACTCCAAGTAAATCGTTCACAAAGATTCTAGAGCGTTTCTTACGGGAATGAGTAGCAATCAAAAACATATTAGAACTGAGCTCACAGAAACTTATCAAATTGGAAATTCTACACCATTACGAGAAATGTACGTTACAAAATTGAATGAGCAATGTAATCGCTAAAAATATAATATTGAACAGCAGCTTCGAAAGACAAAAAAGAGGCGAGCCAAGAAGGCGACGATGTTACAGGTACAATACCCTACAGGAGATAAACATGCGTAGGGGATATCAGGCCGATAGTGTTGAGCGCGCATTGGTGTCCATTTCACGTGTGTGCGTGTGCGTGTGCGTGTGCGTGTGCGTGCGTACGTGTGATGCAGAGACGTCTAAACAGGTACCGGAAAGTGACTACAAGCTGCAGGGTGGTTGTTGTTGCCGTTGGATCGATTGGAAGTCTACGCCTGCTCGGAGCGGCGCCTTCTGCCGGGACCGCCGGCGTAATTGGCCGCCGCCAGGCCCATCAGATGTTTCGCCGCTTGGCTGCCGCTGAAGCCGCGGTTCAATCCCAAATCCAGACCGCGCTTTGAGCTGCGATATCAATAAAAAAAGAAGGCACGCGTCAGCCGCGCGCCTGCTCGCCGGACACGCGTGCGCCACTTACCTCTCCGGCTGCACGAACAATGCCAAATTCTCCAGTCGGTCCAGCAGCTCTTGCGCGGCTTCCGGGTAGTCCTCCTGGAATTGGTTCCACACCGATCGCGACCTACTGCAACGCGCGAGGAAAACGCCGTCTGGCATCAGTCGGTGTAGCGAGCAACGTTTTTAGCATTTCGCGTCGCTTGGGACAGCCACGCCGCGAATTGGCCGACAAATTGTGATCGATGCTCGTCGAGGTGTCGGTCGCCCGGCGTCGGACAAATATGTTTGCCGAGTGCTCGAACGCGCAGCCGGTCGTTTGTTTAATTTGGCAGGGGCAATTTTGTTTTTGCATCTCGGTCGTTCGTTTATGGATTATCGAGCGAAAAACAACAAAATAAATAAAACAAGGTGGAATCGGCCAGAAGCCGCGGCGATGAAAAGTAAGGTCGCGCGAATAAATAGCAACGACGGCGGCGAGCAAGAAGGCGAGAAGTGTGGTAAAGCGATCGGGAGCAGGCGGGGGATAAATTGCTCGGCGAATAACCGCGGCAGAGAGAAAGAGTGAAAGAGTGAAAGAGTGAAAGCTCGCAGGCACGCGATGCTTATAAATACGCTGGTCGTCCACTTCTGCCGGAGAGGCCGTGCCTCGTTCGCATTATCGGAACGAGCCCGAGTTAATTCGGCGAATCGTGGAGAGCTTGCGCCCGCGGCTAACGTTGTACTTAGCGGGCGAGCGAAGCGAGCAGTTGCGGGTGCTGCGGATCGTGCTTCGTTATTTGCAGGCCGGCGCCACCGCCAGGCTTCGATCGAGCGCGGACGAAAGGAGGAGCCCCCGGCGACGCCTCTTCTTTTTCGTCGCAGTCCCGTATCTCGCGGCCAGAGAAGGAAACCCGAGGTGTGTACACGCGAAGCCGTCGCGGAGGGCGCATTTAATTACTCGCGAGCGCGCGAGGCGGCGCACGTACACAGGATGGAGGCGCGAGATTACAGGCGAGCTGTGTGTACCGAGGCCGCGATAAAGTCGAAGCGAATTACAGGGCGGAAGGGCGAGGCGTTCGCGCGCTTACGAGTAAGGCAGAGCCTCGGCGCCGCTGTCGTAGGCGAGTCCGACGATGGCGGCTAGCAGCAGCCAGGCGAGCGTGATTTCTCTCTGCATGGTCCAGTCAGTCCTTCTTGGATTCGATGCGCTTGCTAAATCTGAAAGCAGAAATGGAATGCCTGCAAATCGATCTTTTCTCGTCAGCCGTTGGTAGACATCTATACGTGCTACGCTACCGAATTGAATCCAATTGGATTCATCGTACAGTTCGATCGATTGACGTCGGCGCTGTCGAAATCGCGTCAATGGAAATACATTCGAGTGATTGTCGCGCGCGGCGACAACGCGTCCAATAGGAAACGGGTGCGAGAGAAATGAAATGGCACAACGCACGAGCCAGCCGGAACGCGACATGCGCCGCTGCGGCTCTTTTTGGCGAATGGAACATTAATGAAAAGCAGCCGCGCGGCTGGCCGATTTCAATGCAAAGATAATTACGAGTATGTCTCGCCGAGGCGGAGCCCTAATAATAGTCACGGGCTGTAAATTCTTTGAGAGGCTGGAGCCGCGTGCCAGTGGAACTGTCGCTGAGATCGGCATGATTAAGGAAGCGCCGCTGGCGCCTAATAAACTTATCTGCTCATTAAGGAGTACCCGCTAGGAGAGAGAGAGCGAGTAAACTTTATTAGAGAGGGAGAGAGCAGACGTGCCGTCGAGGTGTCGCGGAGAAAAAGAAAAAAAAAAGGAAGGCAATTGAATTTCAGTGGTAGGAGAGCAAGGTCGACTTTGGCAGCAAATGTCATTGACGTCAATGCCAACTCGGAGCGGCCGTTCGAACGCTTCGCGGCGAGCTTCCTTCTTCCCTCTTCCTCGGATTATTCAGCGCACCGATTCGCCTATTCGCGTCTATCGTCTGTTTGCGCGTGATAATTATCAAATGAAGTTCATCCAGATTCAAGAGCGTTTTAGTCGCACGGCGAGGTCGATTAAGCGACCAGCTCATTTCGCGACGAGCTAAACGGCACACAGCACTCGCGTCCACGATGCTAAACACGTGCGCACTCTCGTCAGTGCGAGTCCGGTCTGTCTCTCCCGGCGGGATAAACTGCTCAAAGTGTGGCGATTTACGATGAGCGCGTGCCAGCTCTTGGCAGCGCGCTCCGCGTGGTAATGGCTCTTCTTCGCGATTTGCGTGCATCATTCTCGAGTAATTTGTTTTCCCATTTACTTTTTTGCGTCTTCTTTACGACCGTCGCACCACGTTCGCTTCTCGCCTGGTTTGCCTTCTTTTTCGATTCATCGAAAATGAAGCAATTCAATCTAACGATAACACGCGCCCCTGTGTTCCGCGAATATTCGCTGGAATTTTATAGGTCTGCCGGCCCTGCTTAATGGCCAGTTGAACATTGTGTAGCGAGGCACGTTTCAGCTTAATGAGAAGAGGGTTGCTTTTTCACTTTATTCAAGCTCGCGCAATTTTCCGTTACGTTGTCACGCGGGGATATACACCTCGAGGATTAACCATCTCGTTTTTTTTTCGTTTAATTTCAACGGAATTTCGCAACGTGATTAGACATCGTCGTCGCTAAAAGGCAGGACAGCTGCCAGCGCCAACGGTAATAGTTTCGCGACAATCGAAAGAACAGCAACAAAAATCTCATGGCCGATCGAATTCTTTCGTAATCGATAAAACCGCACGCGCAGCCGGACAATTCCTAATGAAAATCCTTGTAGTACCAGCCAAAATATCGAGGCATGGCAACTTGTTGCGGAGCCAAACAGCGCCCACATCCGCGCGCGAGCGTAAATCTGGCTACGGGAGAGCAATAAATTGAGGGAGCTCGCGACACTCGTTTCTCCACGTCGATAACATTTGTTTTTCCGAGTCGATAATTCTCGCCGGGATTTCCTCGTTTACAGCTCGACCCTCCTCTCCTCTCTTCTCCCTCCCACACCGTCCTTGTCGCTTGATAACAACGCGACGTTTATAAACTGCTCTGCTTTTCTCTCCCTCCTCCGTGAAAGCTTAAATATGGTCGGATTCTCTTTTTTTTTCTCGACAATCGCTAATTGCATCTCGCGACCTCGCCTCTTTGGACTTATCGAAGCTTCGTGCGCGCATTCTCAGCGATGATTTTCCGCGCGATACAATCTTTCGACGCAATTTTGACGGGCAATTCGAACAGCGGTAAAACGAGAAGCGCTCACCGCCGAGACGAGAGCATATAGGATCTGAGGCGAACGCGCGGAGAACGAAGGTGCGCATGGGATTGCATTTGGCAGGCAACTGCTAGCAATTAAAGCTCGACCGTAAAAAACACAGGCGAGACGCCGACGGACCGGGGAAAGCTGCAGCTAAGACTGCTGCTGCCATGCCCAGTCACTGGCGAATGGCTTATATCCACGAGCCGCATGATTCAACTGCTTTTATATTTTTTTATTTTTAGCCTCATCCGCGCCTCGATCGTTCTCGCGACTGATGGAGATTCGGTGGAATGTGTTACGTCGTCGGTTGGTTAGCGAGGTTGGCTTGCGCGTTAGACTGCGTCTGCGGACGATGTCTGTAGGTGTGAAATATCGGCATGGTAAAAGGGAGGTGATCGCCACAAGGGGAGCAATTTTCGAGTTATAAACGTTACAAGGTTAAGCGGTCTGGCTCTCAGGACGTAAGCACCCAAGCGATTGGCTTGTTTTCCGTTTCCGCGGCAGGATACAGGCCATATAAGCCGCCAGTAATCCGCCCGATAAATCAACGACTGCTGCAATGCCAGCCAAATGCACCAACTCCCTCTCTCTGTCTCTCTCACTAGGTATATATCTCAAGCCAACGCGTCGGGGCGATCGATGGCATTTACTTGGCTTCTTGTTCTGCCTTTCCAGCAACGCCTAGAGACGTTATTACGCTACGAAGAAAGGGGAATGCGCCAGTTTATTCAGCGGATCAAGAATGATACTTAAAGTTGCAAATATACGCGCGTTTCGCCCGGTACGTCAACTGGGATTCTCGTTCTTACAGCCGCGAGCAGTAAAAAAGAGCTGCGAGTTGGCGCTAAATCATGAGACGGCGCAGGCGTAATAAGCCAGCGTGAGCGCCAGAGGGCTGAATTGATGAGACCTCAAGACGACAGTCGTTTCTCACTCGGTGTCGTATCCTATCCTTGAATACTACAATGTGGTCCACTCACTTCCTTCGTGGGCTATGGTAATAAAGACAATTCGTCGGCGTATATATGACCTTAACAACAGAAGATACTGATAGCCAGTGCAATTTGGCATTGCCAAAATGCAAGCGCAATTTGTTAATTCGGTTTATTTATTAAATGTGAAAACAGATTTCTGGCTCTTCCTTCTTATTAAATTTTTCACAGCTACTCGAAGCGTTGGGTATAGTACCTATGATGTTCAACGGACTAAACGAAAACAAGACTGCAAAAGAGCAGAGAGAGAAAGGGAGTGAAAAAGAGCCGACAAACTCCACGAGACTACCACACATATACGCACACGTGCAGTCTGCATATTTTACGCATCACTCGCCAGCAAAAGTGGTATTTATGCGGCGCCATGGGATCGGCCGGATGTTTCATTCATGAGCATCTGCCACGAAGTCAGCGGCAAAAAAGCTTCGGGCAGATCAGAGAGAATCAGTAGTACAATGGCAGATTCGGTCGGGCGGACAGGCAGAATGTCGAGAAAATTGATCGTTATCAGGCACGTACAAGCGCATTAAGGGATGACGAGGGAAAAAACTTCCAAGTGCCTCTTAATAGAGCGAAACAGCAAGAAGGATTTTCTGCCGACTAATTGAATTGAGAGCTCTGCTCGAATGGTTATTATCGAGATGGAGCTTCGTGCGACGTCATGGGAATAAAATAGCAGTATTCTTGACAGACAGCAGAGTTTTTATTGTTTTGTCTGTTCGACTAGCCGTATCTTGGCATAAAAACATTAAATCAACAATCTTATTAATAAAAGATCAAATTAACTTACGGAGCATTCGCTAAATTTGAGCGTGAATGAGTGCTAATTAAGACTCTAAATTTTCTGCAGTTGAAAACTCGAGGAGTAATGAGCTTCGCAAGTCTTGACCGGCTATTACATAATATAGTCGAGATTTCTAATATCCTTTCGAGGTTAATTGCAAAGTTTCAGTCTGAAACTTCCTCAAGTTGTTCACGTTATTTTGAATTCGATTATATCTTTAGCTGAAAAATGAATTCCTTTCTCAAAATTCAAATTGAATTTTTCGTCGAAAACGAAAACAATTGTAAAAAAGAAGAAAAAAGCTTTCTGCTGAAATTGCCTAAAACTCGAGCGTTCTCTCAAAGAAAAAATTATCTGCAAAAGTCGTCGCAAGAACAAGATTTTCTCTCAAAACAAGAATGTAATTCATAGTGAAAGACCGCGTTATCTAAGTCTATTCAAAAGCGGGAAAATATACGGGTAAATAGATGTTACTTCAATAAAAGAAATGTGGCAAATGTGGCGCTGAATGAAAAAAAACGTTCGAAACAAAATTCTGAATTTATGTGCTGCGCGAGGAGTCACGGATTTGTCGGGGGGAAAAATCTAAAGATAAAAGGATTCGATTTCTCGTGGGTGAGCAGCAGAAAGTTGGCGCGAATTCTCTAGAGCCGCGCGCCAAAGAGAGAGAGAGGGGGGGGGGGGAGAGAAACAGGAAAAGCCATCCGGCATGCGAGTAGCTTGTGGAAGAAAGCGGCAAAGAAGAATTTGCCGCATTGTCAACGTCGCCGCGCATAGCGTAAAATCGCGTGCGAGAGAAAGCTGACCGCTCCGAGACAACGAGTGCACCAAGCTAACAAGCTATTCGCTCCTTTTCCACGTCACTTTCTCTTACTCTCTCTCTCTCTCTCTCTCTCTCTCTATCTCTCTCTCTTTCTGTCTCTCGTCACAAAGCCACCGCGTCGCGCGATTGTCATTTTGATGATTAAAATTAAATTTAGTCGAGATTGGCGCCTGATATTTAAAAAAGTGTACATTTCATCTCACGAATTTTATTGGATTATCTGATATGTACTTTTACCAGGCAGTATTCTCCAAACTGAATGAAACAGTATTATAATTTCCATATCAATCAATTCGCATATTAAATGCCATTT